CATTAATACAGAATGGTGAACCGAATTTCTTCTTTTCTTTGATAACACTTTTTCATTTTATTGACAGATTTTTTAGAATTTTTGACAATAAAATACTGATGTTGGCCAATTTCAAGTATCTTTTGGTCAACCTTCAAGAATTTCAAACAGCTATCGTCATATTCCTCATGAAATTGTGAAAGGCCCTTAGGTCAAGCTTTCAATGGTCTCTCAATGGAATTTGAAAGTCAGTCAGAACTGGACTTGTCACTTTCATTTGTTTGCTTTCAGTTTATGCATTCCATCATAACTCGTCGAAACTTCGGCTTCTTATCAAAAATGATGAATTTCCAGGGAAAGTTCAAGATAAATCAAACTGAATGAGTTTAGCCTCGATTTTGATGAAATGTCAGGCAACTGAGAGTCTCGATTCAGGCTGTGCAACTCTAATGATGCTTATAAAGTGTTAGTGTAAAGGTATTGGGAATTAAACAAAATTCAGCCTCGAAATGAAGAGATCACTCGATCATGATTTTTGTTTCAAATCTTATTTTGTGAAGATTAATTAGAGCCAATTTTAGTGTATCTTGTTTCCATTATGGGATATTCATTATTCATTTCATAAAAACTTGAACATTAATTAAGACTCTTTTTGCAATATTAATGGTCTAAAATATGACAATTAACTGATTAATGAAGAAATCTTAATTTGAAATTTTCTATTCAAATTAACATGTCGAAGTGAGTTATCAATTTGTGTTTGCACTCGCAAGCTTTACAAATAGTCCAATCGTGATTCATAACGTTAATTATTTATTTTCACAATAAAAAATTGGTCAAGTCGTACCAAGTCGTTCTGCAAATATTTGGGTTTGAAATTTGGTTATTTTTATTATAAATCTTAAGATCTTAAAAAATGGCAAAATCATTGAAAAAAGTTTATTTCCAGGAAGATTGAGCAAGAGCTCATGTTATCAAAAGATTCAATTGCTTACTCCAATAAACATTTTGCTAACCGTTTAATTGCACCAAAAGGTAAGGTGAACTGGCCTGCGAGATCGTGCGATTTTAATCCTCTTCCATCTTATTTCTTGGATAAAATGAAAAATTATTTGAGTCAACATAAATTGAACACAATTTCTGAGCTCAGGGAACTCGTTGAAGAATTTTTCAAATCAATCGACAGAAAAGATCTCGGAAATGTCATCAACACCTTGCACAAAATTGAAAACAATTTGAATATCAATTAACCCTAGCCGGTGTCTAGCCAATCAACCCTAGCTAGCTAGGAACCCTAGCCGGTGTAGACCGGGCTAAGCCAAGCTCATTCAAATCTGTTTCTTGTCTCTCGTTTACTTACATTTTAAGTTTGATAGCATCTTGATTAGCCTTAACAAAAGGTGTCCATGTTGAACTGTCCAGCTCAAGTCTAAAATTAGGAGCCTGTCAAGAAGATTCTTTTCACTCTTTCAGAGGTTAATTATCAAGTTGATTTGTTTTTTGTTTGAGATTGAATTCACTTAATAACATGGTTTAATGGTTCAATAGGAATCTGATAACCTTGCAATTGACATTGGAAAGGAAAAGATCGTCAAATAAGAAGTTTCATTGAGCACACAATTTTTACTCATAACCATCATCATCATCATCCTTTTCCTCATCTTGAACCTTATCTCCTTATCCAGTCTAGTTTTTCTCTTCCATGTTATCTGGACCTGAATAAGCCAACTGCCAGTTGGAAGACTGTATTCTGTTTTCAACAATGTTTACTTAATCCAGTTTCATGTTCCGTTTCCGCTTCGTCAAACCAACCAAAAGTTGAACACAAAAAAGCCTAAAAAGGATTTCAAGATGAAGACGAGGATGAAGAGGGTAAAGAGGATGACATTGAGAGGTTTAGCTCATGTTGAAATGTGGTTAACAATGGAAATTCATTGATTTTTTTTCTTCTTCTCTCAACTTCTAGTTTTGAAAAAAACTGATTTACTATTTATTTATTGCATTGATTACTGAACTGACTAGATTAGTTTAATCAATGGAAATATTGGCATCAGTTGCCTGGGTGAATCATGATTATCATGAGAAGAAATGATGATTTTCAAAGTTGCATTCTTACTGAGAATCGATGATTAGAAAGAAAAGGTTTCAACAGAAATGGATTCCAATGAAAGGAATATCAGTTTTCATTTCATGGTGAGCTGATATGTAATGGAATGAATTGAGTTGCAATGAAATCTGTCATTTGTTACTAATATGCATCAATATTATCATGATTATTATAATCGCCATTCTGATTATCATCATGATAATAATAGTAAACATTTGAACCTTCAAATGTAAAGTGAAAGTGAAATGGTTGCGAATATGAAAATATGATCAATTTGAATGTGAAATTATTTGCAAATATTACTGTTAAGTGACATGTAAATGATTAAAATGATTATTAAAAGTTGAGTTTATCAAGTCAATTGAATGTTGAACAGAAAAGGCAAAAAATGCTGGCAAAAAAGAAGAGAAAAAAAGAATCGAAATAAATCAAAATGTTTTTTCCACTTTTCTTATTCTCAACCCTTTAACAATTACTTACAATTTACAGTTCTTTTCTCAATATTATCTTCTATTAATATCATGAAACTAAATTATAATGAGAGTTGATATATTAATCAAATTGTGAATCATTAAAAGAGTCACAATTAAAATTATTGATGCATAAAATGAAAGATGACAATCAAGAACTTGGACAAATAAGATGCTAGTTATAAGTATCAATTACTGCGAACCAAATTGATATTTAAATTTTCACCTTTTATTCCCAATTTAGCAAAAAAATTAGTTCATTAATGGCAATTAAAAGGTCAGATTTGCTAAATTTCTTGAAAGATATTGAACCAGAAAAGTCAAGCCTAACCTTTTAAAAACATGAAAATATTGAAAAGCAAAAAGGTTGCAAAGCTGAAACATTTGTGAACGACAAAATCAAAATGATTTTATGCAAACAAACATTGATTGTTGATCGTAAATGCAATGATTTACAATTAAAAGTGGCTTAATTGGGTTTATATTTTTATCATTGTGATTACTAAATGGATTGACATTTTAGTCTCTGGTTTTTTGGGTTAATTTTGAGGCAAAAGGGATTCAGGTCTTACTGTTTATTTTGGTTTATTTTTCTGAATATTAGATGATGTTAATTTAATTATTACCAAATTATGGCTGTGAAATGATTATCGTTATGAACGATTATTAAACGAATTAATTGAAATGATGATTGGAATGATGATTGGGTTTTAAATTTGTTTTTTGGTTAACAGCTTTTCATCTCAATAAATGAAACATTTTCACAGTTAATACAAACATACACTTTTCAAATGAATAACTATTAACATTGTGCATTAACTTGTCAAAATGATAAAATTATATCCTCAGGGTATTATGTATTAACTATTAACAGAAATAGTAATTATTATTATCATAATGATTTAACAGTTTGAATGATTGTACTCTGTTCACCATATAACTGTTCATGTTAAAAATATCCACAAAGTACAATATTCATTATTAATGAACTAATATTGTTAAATGGTTAGACAGTGCAGTACTGTTAATAGATTATAGTATTTTTAAATAGTTAATTGTTGTTGCCCTTTGTTCAATTTAGTCATTTAATGTTCATTGATAATTCAATTGGTTTTATCCAAGTCAATTATTAATAGCCCAAGATACATGCATTTCTGGTTGGTATAAATGAATCAATGAAATGGAGAAGTTAACTTTTCTTTTCTCAAAATTATTTGAAATTCAATTCAATTTGATTCCTTTTTTACCAATTTTTTGGAGATTGAACAGTTTGATTCAAGTATCGATCAATAATTGATCAGTAAATTAAAAGACGAGGAAGTTAAATCAAAGTAGACTAAAGCAATTTGTTTACTCTTTACTTTTGGGTGTTGATTCATTGTTTAAGGTTGAGTTGGCCATTGAAAAGCAAATGCTTGTTTTGTTTGTTTGGGTTTTTACCTTATTTTGGACAAAATAAACATTTAGTTAACCAATTGATTGTCAATCGGCAAGTAATCATCTAAATCAACACAAATTTAAATTGCAGTTAGCGAAACAAATTGCCACTAGAAAGTGAAATTAAATCAATCCTTGAAAGGTAAACACAAAATTGAAACAAATAAGAAACATTTTTAAAATAAAATGAATTGATTTTTCAAAGGTAAAACCTAGTTGACAATTTACATGATAATGAATATTGAATGACTCTTTAACTGAATTCATGGTTCATTCTTGCAATGATACAATAACCTTTTTTACTCTCATCATTAAATTGGATAAATTGTAAGTTGTGTACATCCAGGTAAAGTATTTTCAATAAAAAAATATAGTCAAAGTGAAAGGTAAAAGCAAACAAATCAACATCAACAAGTAAATATTTAATATCACAATTTAACAATAGGAAAAGACATCAAGTTACCAATGACAATTGTTTGGCCAAGTTTCACATTTCAGTGTAACAATCAGAAATAAATCAAATGAAATGGAGATGAAGAAGAACAGAAAATAATATGAAAATCATTATATCCAGTGAAATATAATGAAATCAAATTAAATTTTACATCATTTCATGTTCTTCCTTTTGTAATTCCAGTGATTGAATAGTGCATGTTGAAGTGTAAAATAGGTGAAAGAAAAAATTACCTTCAAAGTTTGCTATTAAATGGGCGAGAAATATGATGAATCTTATTTGTTTAACGAGCATTGCATGGTTGAATAGGAAGAGTTGAAATATGAATCACTTAATCAGTGAATACAAGATTTGCAATGATGATTAAGATTGAAACAATATTATGTGTTAAACGTATTACATTGAGTCACGTAAAGGTTAACCTGATACAGAGTTTGGGTTCACCCTTATGTTTTATCCTTAGGCTTGGGTTTAGGTTTGAGAAATGGTTCATTACTTTGGTTGTTGCTTTATGCCTTTTTAATTGTTACTAGATAATGTTAACTAAACTTACCGATCTATTGAGATTGCCATTAAGGTTAAAACACTGGCTGACACTGATACAATGGCAATGTAATTGGATATTTTACAGTAAAGTGTACCAAAAGGCCAATCTCCGTTGAGCATACAGGTAAAGTTAAAGATTACATTGAGAGTTGAAACCATAATGTCAGCAATGGAAAGGTTAACAATAAAATAATTGGTAACCGTTCTCATCCTTTTATGGGCTAACACAAGCCATATCACAATTGTATTGCCTCCGGTGGCAACCAGAATCATACCACCAAAGACAAGGGTCCAGATAACTTGTTGCCACCAAGGAAGGATAAATTTATTCCTTTCCAGTGGGTTAACATCAGATGGTGAGGGTGAACTTGATGATACACTCCAATTGTTTTGAGGGTAATTTGAATTATTGATGAAGTAAACATCACTGTTGGTCAAGTTGAATTGGCTTGATGAATTGGTGGAAGAAAATGTTAACCCAGGATAACTTTCATTGTTAACACCATTGCTAAATAAAGATATATTCATTGAATTATCATACATTCCGGGTTGATTTAAGGGGTTACCAGTTGAAAGTAGTCAAGTGTTGTTTATTTTGCGCTGGTAAAGGTGATGTTATTGATGAAGATGATGATTATACTGATAAACACTGATTAACAATGATGACAATTCAAGGGCACATAACAGCGATGTCAATTGAGCTTATTTGGGTTGAACAATAGACGTTAATTTTTCTTGGTATTGCTTGGTCTTGTTGGTTGATGTTGTTGATGTTTATGGGTAAAATTGTTGGTTTATGATTGAAATTTTGTTTGTAAAATTATCGCTATAACTCATCAATTTAAACTTGTCAAACAATTTATCCTTGATCAACTTGAAACTACAGAAGATACTTTAATCGGTGAAACTAATTGATATGGAAATTATCGATAAACTGACTAACTATTGATGTATTTTTGTATTTTATGGCAATTTCAGTCTCGTTTCTTTGTTTCACACTTGATCATTTACTCCTTTCTTTTCACCTTCTTTCTCTCTTTGTCTACTTCCTCGCGGTTGTAACAACAATTTCAATATCATTAGTGATTAAAGTTTAACATGAAAAGTTATTTTCAAATAAATATCATGGCTACTGAGTCAGGATATAAACTATTTGTAGATAACTTCATGTAAGGTAATAATCTTTACGCAGTCTCTTCAATCTTTTCTTGGTCTTCCTCATTATAATCATCATCATCATCATCACCATCATCCTGAGTCTTTATACGTTGTGCCTTTAACCGTTCATCATAATTTTTCTTCTTGATCCTTGTCGTTCCATCATCGTTTGTTTTGGTTTGTTCAACCAATACTTTAATGCTCCTTGGTTGACACAATCAAATTAACCTTGGTTAAACTTTCAGTTTAATATTGTCCGTGCAAGAAAATGATAAAGCCTTGTCAGCAATTGTCAATATGATTCCGATTTGAACTGAAAGGGAAGAGAAAAAAACAATCATTAAGATTATTGGAAATAATTTTCAACAATAAAGCCAAACCATTTACGTGGTCATTACATTTAAATGCTCAGGTATACTTTTAAAAGATTATCGTCTGTAAAATTGACCATTTTGTATCTGAAATTGAACATTTGGATTAACTTTTGGCTGTAAATTTAGATATCTTTTTGAGAATCTTTTTGCTGATTTAAGGCAATCAGTTAATTGTGTTACAATTTTGTCAATCATCTGAGTTTGTGGTGCCCTCTATTATTGGAGAAAAAATTTAGATAAATTGACTTTCTCATTAATCTTCATGATTTAACATCACATCTCTAAATCAAACCATGATTAAAAATCTCGAATGATATCAGGTGTAGATCTTTCGGTGTCAGTTTCTAGAGACAAGATAACTTAAGAGTTACTAAGGTATTGATTCCGATTATGCTGTTTAGTTGATAATTATAACATTTAACTCGATTCATAAAGATTATTTGTAATTGTTAATCTTTCCATACAACTTGGATGACTTTTTTCACAAACGTTGCTATTTGGTAAAATCAATTAAATTAAAATTGACTCATGAAATTGATGTTAATGAAGATCATTAGACCTTTGTTTTTTTCAACAAACGAAGCACATAGAATGTGATAAAATAACAAAATAAATGAGAGCATATGAGCTCTATAACAGAAATTAAAAATACGATGAGATAATAATTAAAAAAAACTGCGATAATGTGTGATTATCAATGATTATCCCTGTCATAGTGATGGACATTAAAAAATTTCTTTATGAAAGCTGAAGCCATATTGGTTTGAATAGTTATGGAGGACTTTTCCCAGTGGCGGTGGACCACAATAAAACAATGATACTCGTCCTTTGTTTTTCCTTTGAATTTCATCAAAAAACTGCAAAGAGAACAATAAATAATTAGTTGAGGGGCCAAAATGAGGGAAAATTCATGTCAATATAAAATCTAAAAATCAATTGATCGATCAATCAATCATTGGTTCAAGGTTAATGTGATTGTGACAATCTAGAGATAAAATCAGACAAGTCTACATACTTCATCCCATCTAGGTCTTCCTGGTTTAGTTCTAGTCTTAAGGCCAGTAATCAAATCTCTTTCTTCTTTGCTATGCATAAGATCGAGGGCTAATTGAAGACCAATGGCTCGGATATCAGCATTATCAATGGCTGAAGTGATGTAGATATGCATATCCAGAAATCGATCAGCTTCCATCAATTCAGCTTGAGTTATCTCTAACTGGGAAAGTAAATGAACAAACCATTCAAAACTACTTTGTTCACGGTTAATCCAAACGAAATCAACTTTTCTCAGTTTCATGACGGAAGGTGGAATAGCATCAGTCCATGAGTAACAACACCGGGGACATGTTTGTCTAGCTTCTAAATATCTGAACATAATACTTTGAAGGATTGATGCAAATGGTGTTACACCGATGCCCGTTGAGATGAGAACTGCATGTTCAGTGTTGAAAATGTGACTAGAAGGTGAACCATAGGGACCATCAAGTCTAACAGGCAAAGGTATTGATGCTTTCAAGTTAATAACAAAAGCAGGATTGCCTTTACACTGAACACTGCCAAAAGGTACATCTTTATGTTGTTCAATAATTTGACACACACGTTTAGTCCATTCACCAACTCCTCGAATGTGAAGCCAGAGATAATCTTGCATTTCAGGAGCACTGCTTATAGTAAATGGATGCCATTCCCATTTAGCGATGCATGGAATCTGTAAGTATACCCAGTCACCTGGGCGAAAATCAAAATTTTGTGGTCGCTTAATAACCAAATGAGCTACTCGGGAAGGTAAAATTGTTCCTCTCTCAATGTATGTGTGTCCAGTAGATCCAAACATTCGTTTGATTAAAATAAAACGCTCAAAAATAAATAAAAGAAGTGGTAGAGCAGCCCACATCCAAAAAGACGGTCCATGGAGAATCAGTGAAATCCCAAAAACGTAATAAAATAAATGACAATAGTAAAAGATCTATAAAAAATGGAAATAAAATGTCATATAATATGAAAGAGCGAAAAGTGCCTAACCATACCTCAAAGTGTCCTGATTTACGAACGAATGGAAGTGATGATACGACAATTATTGTCAATGATAATAAACAAACCCAACCAGTTAAGCTTGCAGCCCCGTAAAACCATTTGAATGTAGGATTGAGATTGAATAAAAAATATGCAAGACTGATGCCTCGCTCATCGGATAAATGAACTGTTAATGAAAGGAAAAGATCAATAAAAATTGAAGTAAAACAAAGTAACACGGCAACAATAGTTTACAATAGCAATAACTTACTGAAATTGATGAGGTGAGCTATGGTATGGATAATGGAAAAAAATGCAATGAGATAACCACAAAGTTTGTGATAATAAATATGTTGATCGATTGGAAAGTAATCATTTATACCGAGAGTCCGCAGAAATGTCAAAGTTCGTCGCAGGACCAGAAATATAATAAAAGCACAGTTGAAATTTAGACATATGCCTGCACCTCTCGCGATCCAAACAGGCTCTGGTTTTCCTTCTTCAGCGTATTCGGTAACACGCCATCCAAATAATGTTAAATTGAATACACAATAAACAGCAAAAAAGCATACACTTGTGCGATTGTTCCGGATGTAGGTTAAATTGAGTTTCCTAGCAAAATATCCTTGCAAAGGTTTTGGTTCGGGTGGAACAGGTAGTAACCAACGATCGATGGATATAGAAATATTCTCAATTAAGCCTGGATGGTGAGCAATCAATGCTTGAAATTCATCAAAACTTATAGTTCCCGTTTGGTCGGTATCCGCAGATTCAAAAAGCACATAGGTTAAATCGTTGATTTCTTCTTCACTAAACACCAATCCATTCTCGGTCATACATGATTCGAGCAGATGACGAAGCTCACAAAATGAGATTAATCCATCACCTGATATTGAATAGAAAGACAAAAAAAGCAAATTATTAATAGATAGGAATATTGACACAATGAACTAATGCAAAGGTGACCAACCATCAATATCGTTGATGCGAAAGAAAAAAAGCAATTTCTCCGTGACTGGCTTATAGATAATGGCTTTTACGTTATCAATTATTTGCTGTTTGGTGAGATTACCGGAACCAGAAGGGTTAAACAACTGAAACAATCGGTCCGAGAAATATGCCTATTTAATAGGGAAAGACAAAACGGAAAAGGTCCCGAGTTAAACATTAAGTGAAAAGTAGTTAAAAATATTTACTCACATTTTTGGATACAATTAGATTGCGAAAATCATCTCTGGTTACGCGTTGATTACCACATAAATGATCAATTTTATCACCAAGCAGTTTAAGAGCAACATCTTTGACTACCCTCTGTGACCTGAACGTAAAATGGAACATAAAAATTCAATGAAAATAATTAAAAAAAACAAAGAAAAAAGCAAAACTTACCTCGCTCTGGACAAACGAGATATTAATTCCATGATTCAGGAGGTAAAGACGAAGATGGTGACGATAGTAAAACAGTAGTAAGGGTAAGCAAGTCGACCTGTAACACAGAGTTGATTAAAAAAATAAGAAAACTGATAAATGTGAAAAGAAAATCACATAATTTGAAAGATCCAATCAAAAAGCCAGTAAACTCTTAGCCAATGATTGCCTATGACGTTATCATAAAACAAAGGAGTAAAAAAACCTCTTTCTCCTTTTGTTTGAGTTAGCAAAAGAATGAAAAGAAAGTCTCACAACTTGCAAACCAGATTAACTGTTAATTACTCTAATCTTGGTTTCTCTTCCCATTAGCCAATTTCCATGTAATGGTCAAAGAGTAAGGTAAAGTCTTGCCTTAGTGATTTTTAGCAACAACAGGTAGACATTATGTCTACATTTCTTTTTGCTGACCATTTTGTTTGGTGTATGTTGTGATAATATTCAAACACATCTAAATTGAACATTACACCAGATAAACAGATTTTTTTCAAGTATTGATGTAATATTATGAAATAATGAAACATTATCAAATCAAAATAGATGAAAATCGTGTAAAAGCCTATCTGAAAGGCTCAATCTAACAAGAATAAGAATTACTTACACACAAAAATCTTCCAATTTTTGATAAGCTTTTCCTTCGCAGTCATAAAACATTGAATTTTTTTCACGACAATTTTCAAAGACTTGAGCCTTTTAGTAATTTGAATATTTCATTCTTCATTCGCGAAATGAGAAAATAAAAAAAAACGAAATTCAAACATAAATAATTTTATTTATAAAATATAAATATTTTTATCTGTACATATATTTCAATTTACAATTAAGCTATCATATAAAGATATGGAAGTATTTTCAAATCCCCAGCCTTCAGTTTATCCATTGGACCTCCACGGCATCTACCAAATAAACAAATTGTACCTTTTTTACAGTGGTCATCACTTTTACAGATGGGAAGTTTGGTTGGTGCGGCATCTGATTGATTAACAAGGGAAAACAAAATGAATACAAAAAATGTCATCACAAATAATTGATTGAACTTCATGTTTACTGTTTGTTGGTTGTTACGTTGAACAGTTTTATATATAAATGTTACTGGTAGAGTTGGTGATAGTTGAATGTTGCGATTCTTGAACTGAGTTGACGATGGTTGGAGATCGACTGTTGGGTTAAACTTGTGAGCTTTTGCTTTTTATATTTTTAAGAGTCCCAAGAAAATCTGTGAGTAAAGGTGAGAAGGAAGAGAAACAGAAGATGATTATAATGAAGGAAGAGAAGGACTAGAATCAGAATAAGTTTTAAACAATTATAATTATTATGTTCAATTAGATCAATGTAGAATACAGAATTCACTGCACTAATATGACCCATTAGGACTTAAAACTAAACCAAGATTGGTCAAATGGGAATATACCTAAGGAGAGAAGGAGAGTGAGAGAGAGAATTGGTTTGGTCCAGTCTTGGTTAATCTTTGGTTCTCTTCACCAAAACCAAAACACTGTGTAGTCCATAATAGGATTAGACGTGCAAATTGCTTTTTTTGTTTCTCATCTGTTGGAAGGGTTTGATGAAGTGACACTATTTACACCTTGACCACAATTTACAAGTCTATAAGCCTTTTATAATCTAGTCCATCTAAAGGCAATCAATGTACAATACTAATTTTTTAGCAACACTGGTTAAACAGGAGATAAGAATAAACAAATTTCCATGCTACCTGTCACAAGGTGAAAATTGACAAGATAAACACTAAGATTCTCTCAGTACTTAAACTAACTTATCTTAATTTACTTATCTCCTAATTAACCCATCATTTTAAACATGTACACACACATGCATGCACATCTGACAGGATTATCATCAATGTTCATTCTGTATGGACTTGTTCAAGTCTTAATAATGGTCCAAGTTTTGCCCAGGTCATTTGGGTTACAGCTGTAAACCTGAAAATATAATTTTGAGTTAATATGAAGCCTGGAAATATAATTGGACTATATTTGGTAACTAATAATCAAATATTAGAGGGACTTTACAAGACACGTGTGTTGTAGTTGAATAAAGTGGATTGACAATGAAGGAAATTAAGATTGCAATGTGAATGATTTAATGTGATAATTTCAATTTCATTTTATAAAAATCAAATTTATTAAACCTCCAGTTTAGTGAAGGCTTCAAATTAATCAAAAAGGATTTGTAGATATTACATTGAGGAAAATTATTAGATGTACATTAGCATTGTCATTGCATAAGAAATACTTTACAATGCTGAAACAATCTGCAATCACGATTGTTGACAAAAAGATTTGATGCCCGAACATCCGAAGAATTTGTTTTTACTTGATTTGTGACTAGTTGTACTTCGGCCGCAAAATTTTTTCTTGCCTTGAGACCCGGTTGCAGCTGAGAGATAATTTGCTGAGGTATTTTCATTTTTATTTTGATCAGAGGTTTCGGTTGAATATGAACCTTTCCAAATATCAATAGAAGATTCACTTGGATAATGTAGATTCTGAAGATAAGGTAGAACTGTCATGCTTCGAAGGGCATCGCCATTGGGACGAGTTGGTATGGTTACCGGTGAGCAATTTTTAATAAGCTTTTTACGTAGCCAGTCATGGTTTCGTATTTCGATCAGACTAAACCGTGAATCGGGATCCACGTCAAGCATACCTCTGATTAAGGAAGATAATGATTCATCTAAGTCACTTGGAATGGTGAATTCACCTTTAGAAATATTTTCAAATAATTTGTAGACTGTATCTCCTTCAAATGGATAAGAACCAGTGGTAATGTTAAACAGAGTAACTCCTGAAGACCAAATATCAATTTTAAAACCATGAAAAGATTCACAGCCTCTAGCTATCTCTGGTGGTTGAAAAGCAGGAGACCCTTGACTTGTTGATATTATGTCACTTTGAGAGAAACTGTCCAATAGCTCTGAGACGCCAAAGTCACTTATTTTAACCGTTCCAGAAGTATTTATCAACAGATTGCCTGGTTTAATGTCTTTATGTATAACACCTTTGGAATGAAGATATTCCAACCCGTCTAAAAGTTGACTAAAATAACCATGACTTTGCCAAATTGGTAATTTTTTGTCTGGCACACTATCAAGAAGTTCCTGAAGAACAGCAACACAATATTCCATCACTATATACAGCTTCTGTTTCTCCTCATTGTAAAATGTTTCAATCAGTTTAATAACATTTGCATGATTGAGTCGGCACAACAATTCAATTTCCCTTTGTACATTTTGTTCACCATTAGGAATTTTGCGAAGTCTTTTCTTTTTCATAATTTTGAAGGCTCGCCGTTCTAATGTGATCCTGTCCAACACTTCTTTAACTTTTGAATAAGAACCCTCACCCAGCATATCCCCTAACACGTAGTTACCAATGAATTTTGCTCGTTTCTTCTTCTTTTCATACAAAATTTCAACACTGTTGACACGGTGAAAGGACAATGGTTCGTTGGACTCGTCGTCAATCAGGTACCCATCCTTAAAGTAACACTTTTCAAGCTCCATTGTCGATGTTTACACACAGAGTAGCACAGAGTAGTAACTTGCATGTTAATTCAGAGCTCAAAAAGAGTAAATAGTTACCTTAATTGGCGATAGATGGCACATATCGAATTATGGCACAAAATGGGGAAATCTCGAGATTTCATCAAGTCAGTTGAGCTAAATATTGAATTGCAGATGAAGCTGAGTTAAATGATACACTGCATGTGGACTAAATTAACACGAATCAATTAGAAGTTCAAATTTACAATTTCTAAAACAGTAAACAACAGCATTATTCTCGAAAAATACAATTGTCAGATTGTTGTTGGGTTTTCATTCCCAGTAAATGATTTTAATCATAATTTTGTAAGATACAACTGGCACTAATCGTCTGCTAGTGGCCTGATAAAGATCTCTGTGGTTCGATGACAAGAGAAAATTGTCATTTGAATCGGACGGCTTGCGGAAAATGAGGTCACTTCTAATGAATTTACTCAGCACACAAAATCGGTCAATTTCAATACATGTGTATCCACAATATATCAACAAATATTCAAAAAGCAAGCAAAAACAATGATGAATTTTCAAGTAAATAAAATGAATCGATTAAGTAAATTACATTTGCTAAAATACAATAAATTCATGGAGAGATGGTTAAACATTAAATTAACTAATTATTCATCAAGCAGTAATAATAATTCTATAAATCTAATATAAATCATGAAAACAATCAACAGCTCGAGTAAAAAAGTTTTCCGATCTCAGAGACATCTTGAGAGAAAAGATTTCCCTCCAATGTTACCGGTTACTTATAGGAGTAGTAACCGGTTAGAGTAACCTTCGCTAGACTGTAAATGCTCTGTACTTTTACCAGTTAACCGGTTACCAGTAACCAGTAACTTCTAGGCTTATCCTCCAATTCAGTTCAGCCCATTTTAGCAACAAATAGTATCGAGTCCAATCTAAAAGTTCTGTTATTAGTTTTTGAGAGCTTTATTTATTGGGAAATTAAACTTTGATGGTTCAATAGAACTCATCAATATCGATTTAAATAATGATTAGTGCTTGTTGAGTTTAGCTGTGATTGAATTAAATTATTTAATTAACTTTGCTCCAAGTAGTGCTGGTAGTAGTATCTTTAAGGAATTGATCTTTGATCGATACTTTGTGTACGTTTAAGGCTTACCCTATTCTCCAGTGTTTTTGATTTTTATTTTATCTTAATTCAATTCTCATTGTCTACTCTTTGTTTTTATTTTTTTATATACACAAATGTTGCATCTACCATAACAATATACTGATTTAATTTTACTCAGTATTTAATCTTGTTCTTTATGAACATGGCTGCCTCTTCTTCTGAAATTGTGAAATGTTTGAAGGATTGGCATCACATTTGGAAGTATCAGCTTTATCTCCATCGGAAGACTGAACTTTTTGAGAAGATTGGTGGTTACATAAATGATTTATTAGAATGGCGCCGTCAAATCGCGGAAGCAACTTTAACCAAAGATCAGGTAAAGGAGATAACTCTCAAGATAACTCGTCATATAGACACAGGCAATCGTCTTCTCGGGTTGGACCTAGTTCCAAGAATAGATGGTCAAATAGTTGACCCTGAATTAATTAGTCCCATTGAGCTTTATCAAATACATTACGAGTCAAGCAATGGAATGGCATCCAGTCAACGAGCCAGCAATACTTCAACTCATTCATCAACCTTCACCTTTGTAAATAATTTTTTGTATCTTGATGTTCGTGATATTGTATTACCTTTGGTCAACTTTGATGATAATTTTGAAATATCTTTCTACCTGTTTGATTACTCAACTTCAACCCAATTGAGTGAAAAATTTGTTGTGCGTTTTCCTGGGACCAATGTCAACAATTCCAATGGTAGTAGTAACCTATCTGATGGGGATCACCCATCAAAAGGAAGTCAATTCAGCACTGTGTTTACTGATTTAAGTAATATCAATACTACTGGAGATGTGTTCCTATTAGTCCAAGTTATGCGTATTGGTAAGATGTTAAGTGTTGAAGGAAAATCTTCAAAGTCAGCTTTCTCATCGTCAGCAACTCTTCCTTCATCTCTTCACTCAACATCTGCTTCAGGCGCATCAGCTGCATCTTGGTCTAATTTGCGGTTCAAAAGGCCATTTGGTAGTGCCATTCAAGGTTTATCCGATTTTCTCAAGTCAGAAACAAACGAGAAAGTATTCAATATGAAACTTGCTTGCACAAGCAATGAATGTGACTTTTATCAAGTTCATGATATGCTGTATAAAAAGCAAACCAACAAATTAACCCATATGACAAACACATCAATCTCATTAGTGGTCAAGTTTTTAACAGGACCTGACTCTACTAAAATTATCAATGAAAATTCTTATATTTTTCAAAATGTCACATGTCTTACTGGTAAAATGGGATTTCCTGATGTCATTATGCCCGGTGATGTGAGAAACGATTTATACTTAACTTTAGAGTCAGGAGAGTTTGAGAAAGGAGGTAAATCTATTCCTAAAAATGTTGAAGCCCATACTACACTTTATGGAGCTGATGCGGCCCCAATAATTAACAGCATCTCGTACGGATGTGGTATCGATTCAGTTACAACTTACACCTCTCAAGTTCTTTACCATAATAATAATCCTCGATGGATGGAAAGTATTAAAGTACTCATTCCACTTGAGGTTTGTGATCTGAAGGCACATATTCGTATTGAATTTCGCCATTGTTCAACTAAGGAAAATCAAAGCCAACGCGAGAAGGATAAAAATTTTCTCGGATTTTGTTTCTTTCCTCTGTCTGACGAGAAAGGTACCATTATTAAAGATGGTATCCATGAATTGTATCTTTACAAGTCAAATGGTCAATCAGAAATTCGCAATCGTCTCAATGATCCAAACTCTTATCTTTCACTACCCTATGGACCTAAAGATGATCGAGAGATCAATCATGAAGGAAATCAATTAACTCGAAGCAGCAAAGAATCAGTGCATGTACGAACTCAGCTATGCTCAACTAAATTAACTCAAAATACAGATCTTTTAACACTCTTAAAATGGCGATCCAACCCAGAAACTGTGCAAGATGCTTTGATGAAAGTTCATCGTTTAAATGGAGAAGAAGTTGTTAAGTTTCTTCAAGATATTCTGGATGCTCTTTTTTCAATGTTTTCAACTCATGATGGCAATCAAACTCACCATTCTGGTCTAGTATTCAAAGTTTTACTTCATATTTTATCTCTCCTTGACGATCCTAAATATGAACATTTCAAACCAGTCCTTGACACTTATATAAATGGGCATTTTGCTGCAGCTCTTGTTTACAAAGGTCTGCTCTACTCTGTCAAACAGTGTACTGATCTTATAAAAGATGTGGACTCCTTGGACAGTACCCAAATGTGTTTCCGCTCACTCGAATGGATTTTTAAATTTATTGTGCAGTCAAGAATTCTCTATGCTAGAGCAACTGGGGATCATTGTAATGAAGATATTTTCAAACAAGATCTTTTTACATTGTTCAGCTCATTCAAGCGCATGTTATCATTCAATTATGAGCCTACTCTGGTCGCATCTCAAGTTGCTTTCATCGAAAATTTTTCATCTACTTACAACCAACTTCTTCGGGTTTTATTAACCGATGAGCTAACTAATATCATTGGAATGATTATCGATTGTTTACCCTGTCTTGAGCCATGCCCTCAAATTATCAGAGCTAAATTGAAGTGTATTCACGAAACTATTAGCAATGAATTATTATTGAGAGATTTTGAGGCTCGTCGAAAATTGATTGATCTTTTCAGTGTCCATCTTAAGGAACATATTAATCGCCAGCAAGAACTCAAAGCATGCGCTGCCATAATTTCAGATATTTTGAAATTCTTGCACAACGAAAAGATTAACATTGCCTCTTGTTCTGGAGCAGCTATTTCAAGTGGTACCATAACTGACATCTCGAAAGAGATTGATATACTTGTGAATACAATGCTTGAGCCAATAGTCCGGGTCATTGTGGAACTGTCAACAACAACATCTGGTTCGGTCAATATGATCTGTATTAATCTACTTCATTCATATGTTTCTTCTTTTATGACCCTTCTCCGATTAATGGACGAAGCTCATTGTCGTCGACTTTTGGATAAGAAAAATCGCAAAGAAAAGAAGGAACTTCTGCTACAAATATTCTATGTCTTTAAACAGATTTTTCAACCAGAGATGTATAGTAATGATTGGACTGTGATGAAAATGGTTTCTAATCATATTATTTTATGCTCACTACAAGAATTTTCTATTGCTTTGACGGAAGATTTTCTTGGCTACGAGATGGGTGGCTCTTTTGATGTTCAGCTGTGGAACTCTTTTTTCAATTTATCAGTCTCATTTCTAACTCAATCTGCTCTTCAGTTGGAAAATTTTTCTCCTTCAAAAAGGGAAGCAATTTTGAACAAATATCAAGACATGCGAGTTCTCATGGGCTTTCTCATCTTGTCAATGTGGGAAAAGTTGGGCGATCAAAAGGCCCATTTTATACCTTCAATGGTTGCTCCTTTCCTGGAAGTTACTCTTGTACCTGAAAAAGAACTGCGAAAGGCAACTTTACCCATTTTTTATGACATGATCGATGCCGAGTTCATGTCGAACGGCAGTTTCAAGCAAGTAGAATCAAAATTGATTGATAAATTGGATATTCTAGTCTCTGATTACAAGGGTGACGATGGTTTTAAACAATTATTTAATGCAATGTAAGTAAAAAATTCATTTAACATCTTGTTTACATCTCAATTTCACATGTTAAAATATTAGTATCGAATTACCTATTCTGTTTTGGTGTTTTGGACTAATGAAATATAACTCAACTCATTTCCACCATGATCAATTTTATAAAATTTTCAGGAAGATGGTCTTTCCAAAGTAAATAGATTTTCATGGCTAACGTAATTAAACCGTGAGACTTGATTAGACTTTACATTTGCCATTAAAGCTTGACTTTGAATAAATTTGCTCCAGTTTCAATTGGAAACCATTCGAAACACGCCCAGTTTGTAGTCATCTTTAAAAAAAGGTTTCGGAAATTAGTCATTTTACTTGGGATGAGCCTTCACACCAGTATCAGTAAATATTCTGAGAAAATGAAATTAATAGAAAGGAAATGTATGTTCGTAACATTTTTTCGATTTTAAAAAATGAAACGAAATTGAAATATGGCAATGAAAAATTTGAACAGAGTGTTTTCAAATGCAAATTTTTCTTGAATGAACTAACCTTTTCATCTTAATCTTTATCTAACCTTTTTCCTTTCATGCTAACTAAGGGAACATTTAAAAGTCGTGTGAGTTAATTTTTTGATCAATTACATTGTTTCCTCCTTATTTTGAGTTATTATTTTTTTCTGTTTATCTTTTATTCACATTTGTATATTTATTTTATATTTTTATTACTTTTTGGTTTACATTTTATTTGAAACTATTCAATTAATCTATTGATGTTTTGTTTGTAATTTTAGACTTCTGGAAAAAGTTAATGAACAAAATCCAGTCTGGAGAGAATTAGGAATCCAAATGATACATTCAATCACCAAACTATTGGAACTCTTGTTGGATTATCGTAGTGTTATGAATGGAGAAGAAAATCGAGACATGCGAATGTCTTGTACCGTTAATTTGCTTAACTTTTACAAAAATGAAATTAATAGAAAGGAAATGTATGTTCGTTACATTTACAAATTGTGCGATCTTCATATTCCCGCTGAAAACTATACTGAAGCCGCATTTACTTTGAAACTTCATGCGGATCTACTTAACTGGAGTTGGAACGTCATGCCTCGTGATGCTCTTTACTCTGTTGAACCCTTGGAATGGCAGAGGAAAGAATCTCTTTACCTTGCTATTATTGATTATTTTGATCGAGGTAAATGCTGGGAAGAGGGTATTCCATTAATTAAAGAGCTAGCCGAGTTTTATGAGAAGAAATTGTTTGATTATCAAAAACTGAGTAATCTTTTGAAGCAAGAAGCTCGTTTCTTTGACAACATTTTGATTCAATTGCGACCAGAACCTGAATACTTTAGAGTTGGATTTTATGGCAAAGGATTCCCTATTTTCTTGCGAAACAAGGTTTTCATCTATCGAGGACTAGAATATGAAAAGATTGGTGCTTTTACCGCTCGACTGCAAACCGAATTTCCTCAAAGTCAACTTTTAACTAAAAATAGTGCTCCAGATGATAAAAAAATGGAAAGTGATGAACAATACATTCAAATATGTAACGTTAAACCAGTAGCTGAGCCGAAAGAAGAGTTTGAAGGCAAAGATTTACCTGAGAAAATTTTATCGTATTATTTAGTTAATGATGTGAAAACATTTACCTTTGACCGACCTATTCACAAAGGACCCATTGATAAAGATAATGAGTTTAAATCTCTTTGGATTGAGAGAACTGTTCTCAAAATTGATTGTAAATTACCCGGAATCTTGAGATGGTTTGAGGTCAAGAGTAAACCTCAAGTTACAGAATTATCTCCAGTCCAACATGCTAGAGAAACTATTGAAAATATGAACAAACAGCTTCAAAAGTTAATTGCATCATATACAAATGAACCAACAAAAGCTCTCAGTCCATTAACAATGAGACTTCAAGGTGTAATCGAAGCTGCTGTCAATGGAGGAATCAATAAATATCATGACGCATTTTTCGATCCAGACTATATCACTGCTAATCAAGCCCACTTGAAAGACATTAAAAGATTGAAACAATCAATCCTCCAGCAAGTTCGTATTCTTGAAGGTGGCCTTTCTCTACACGGTCGCCTAGTGCCAACAAATGTAAAACCTTTGCACAAACGTTTGGTTGAAAGGTTCACTTTGATGAGACAAAATATTCTTGAAAAAGGATCCTTTGACCTTGATTATCAGAGTATCGATGAAATAAATAGGAAATCTGCATCCATAATTAACACGCCATTACCGCCAATCCCGATTGAAACAAAACCACATTATGTCTCTAGTCATTCAACACCATCAGGAACCACTCCCTATGGGCGTTCAACAGAGGATGATCAAATTTATTGTGTGCCTCATGAATATTATGGACCAACTCCACCCATTCCGCCAAGCAGGAACACTCCAAAGCCACCTCAGCCACCACCTATTCCGCATACTCGACCTCGATCAGCTGGTTTCTCATCTACCGGTGCACCTGAAACATCATCCATTCCTAACACAAATCCACCAACGCCACCACCTCCACCTCTTCCTATATCCGCTTCACCTCTTCTTCCATCGACTCATCCAATTATCAATGTAACCACATCTCGTCAAGTACCAGTCACATTACCGGTAAACTCTTCAACTTCTTCTGCTGCGGTCCAAAGAAGTCGATCCATTCCTCGAACTCATCATCTTTACACTTCTACGGGTATTGGACAACAACAGCAACAACGGCAATCAACACAATACTCACCTCATTCCCCAGTTGCTGCTTACAATCATACTCAAGATGATAGCGAAGTACCTCCGCTACCTCCAAGAAACAGTAACACCTTGGATAAAAATCGATCAGTAACTATTATTCCAGTCGATTGTCGTCGAGGACCTGTAAACATTTTGTGAAATATTTTCGCTGTAAACAAACTGTACCTATAATTATTATATGACTTTTTCAATATTTCTTGGATACTAACATTAAATTATCTTCATTTTTTGCTTAAATAAGTCTAATCTTCATTTCCTTAATTCTATATTCATTTGACATTCAACCATTTCAATTGAATATTAGGGTATATTTGACTACTTACTGGTTAATATTACTATAACTTGAAATGAAATTATCAATTATAATTCAAGATGATCACATTATAGCAAAAAACTTATGCAAATTGCCTTATTAAATCAATTTACGGTTATAATTTATCATTAGCTTTTCAGTAGATTGTAACTAAATGCAGTTTACGTGACAAAACCTTTTATTTTATGTTCACAATTTAAAAACATTTTTGTCGTAGAACCCGCTAATGAGATATTTATTGATCACTTGGAAAATCAGATGATGAAAATGCTAGTAACTTTGATGATTAATTATTCACAGCTTAGGAGACACTAATAAATTACAAGAAGTGTTATTAGTTGACAGTTACTTTAAAAAACAAGTCAATTTCAGTTACAAGTTGCACTTGATTTTGACTGATGGAATAAAATCGTTGAACCAGAAATACCAATCGAAATTCAATTCAATGACTAAATTATCGAGATTGGCATTTTGTCAGAAAATAAACTTGAATTGCTTTTAAAAAGTCTATACATTTTAAAGTAACTTTCCAATTAAAATTATTTTACAAATTTAACAAACAGTGAACAAGAAACATGTAAAAACTAGTGATCAGTCGGAAAACAATTTGATGATAATTGAAGAGTTGAAGTTCATCTTGGATGAAAGATGATGATAAAGAGGAAAGTAAACACCAGAGAGCGCAATATATCCAAGTTTCGAGGTTTTTACTTGACCAAACATCGGTTCGTCTTACACTGTCATTACTAGCTTTTTACACTTCATTGAGTTAACAACACATAAGTACAACTTTTTACTCATTTCGCTCTCTTTTTCAATTCTTATCTTGATCATTGTGTACTTATTTTACATCGTGTTCAACATTAAATTAATAGTTCCATTGACTCTACAATCTGGTTTTTAAATTTGCCAAATCAAGTTAACCTAATTTATTTGCTAACCGTTCTTGTCATTTTTCATTGATTCACTTTTACTTTCTTGTGTCGGTGTTTTTTATAATTTTCAACTGTAAATTAAGTATAACCTAAGTTTATCAACCGTTAATTGTGATCATTATTGTGTATATTAAGTTAATTCCGTTTTTTGGAGTGAATTTTTGATTGTAATCTTTCATCTTTTACAATGGAAACATTTAAAACAGTTCTTTACCAACAAGATTTCTCGAAATTATATGTTACATTGGGATTTTAATCATTGAACTCAGACAAATAATCAAGGTAAGACTTAAACATGTTTAAACCTCTCAAATATTTCCTGTTACAGTGAAAATAAAAGTGAATATTGAGTATTTCCTGGCAATGTTTTAGCTGTTGATTGTTAGTTAAACGGTTAATGGTTGATTAAATATTTCTTGTTCAATATTCATAAGCCTAAAGTAAAATTTGATATTTTAAGTTAAATCTCTGAGAAGTTAGACGTTGTTTCGTCGGTTATGTTAAATAATTTTAAATCATTGCAATTTATTCCGTTTTCAAGTCCACCTAATTTCAACTTTCACCTACTTTTCGAGGGTAAAGTAACAGACAGAAATAACATGATTATTAAGCATGTTGATAAATTGATTATTAGCAGAGATGAAAAGCTCTAGTAAATTAAAAATGTAGTGTCAACATCTTGTTAGTCATTAACTTTGTTCACATCTTATTGCTTTTTTTGTTTATCGAACCATTTTGTTCATTCGTTTGACATCGAGTAAATTAATAGTTGATGTAAATGATCAACAAAATTCCATGTCAATCATAATGCCTTGTTAAAATAGCCTTTAAAACTAGCAAAAAATGAAATCTTGTTACCATCAACTTTAAAACCATTGACAGAATTAAGATATACATCATATTAACAAGATGATGATGTTGATGTTGATGGTGATGATAATGATGGTCTATTTAATTCCCTTTTCCATGGGTTTTCTTTCATGTAATATTTATCTTGACAGTTACATTGACAAAGTTAACTCATCCCAGCTTAAACCAATCTTAAGAGCAACTGTGGCTAAATGGTATCCACGCTAAGAGATGAAAAGTACAGCTGAAGAAAAAACTGAAACAAAAGCAAAATCAAAATTAGACTTATAAAAGATAATCATTTAAAAACTTGAACATTGAGGAAGCAAAGAAGATGAAAAATGAAGAAAAGGGAACAAAAAATGTTGAAAAAGGAGTATTTTAAGGCAAAAAAGAAGAGTAAAACTTACAATGGAAATGGAATGGAAGTTGCATATTTTTGAAAGTCATATTTACTCGTCAAGACAATTGATGAATCCGGTAGACGCCACAAGAAACTCATGTAAAACCAACAAAAAAACCATTTTTCGGTCTTCACAGTCCAAGTAAATATCCTTGTAAAGGTTACCTATGGAAATAAAGGTAAAAAGATATTAATAAGAAATCTTTCGGTCAAAAACACACCTTACATTCATAAAGGTAGAGTAAAAGATATTTTTACAAGAATGTTAGTTAGTTTCTTCTTCTTCTTTTTTGTGGGTCCTTTTATTATTATTACTTTATACCTGTTACTTTACTCGTGTAGGAGTCCATTGTTTTTTGGCCTTTTGCCCTTTTTTTATCTCATTTCTATGTTATTTATTTTTTTCCATAGCAAATTATATTGTTGTTAAGAGAAGAGAAGAAAAAGTCTAACATTAACCTCCAACTGAGTGAAGTGTATTTTGCTATGTGAACAGGCATAATTCAATGTGGACTCGTCGGAACTCGTTAGACTATTAACTAACAATTACCATTAACTGTCTACCTTTTATGGTAACATAAAGTTTACATGTTATTACATTTTTTACCTTGATCAACTATATGTAATCAACTTTCAATTGATTGCTAATAGATTCATCTCTATAGCTCAATTTAATACTTAACTATTACTTTTAGTTGCTCTTCTTGTGCCTTCAATTTACTCCATTATTTTTGCTTCTCATCTGCTTGTCTGTGTTGCTCATCGCTCATCTTCATCCAACAATTTGGGTATAACCAGAAAACTGGCTTGAAAATGGTTTAATTAAAAAACAAATTATCAGTGTATTTATATACATATATCAAAATCCTGACTCTTTCCTTATAAGGTCAACCAATGCAATCAATGAACGTTGTTGGTGGAAATCACTCAACAATCTAATATGATTACATAAACAATCTCTTTCTCTCCATGCCTATGTAACCATTGGCTTTGTAATAATAATAAAAATAAATAACGGGCAACGTAAATTTTTTTTGAAACTTTTCACCCAAACATTTTTTTTATCATCCTCTGTTCATCATTTGAACACATTAAAGGCAGTCATCATCTCTCTCACTCTCTTTACCAGTTACCAGTACTATAAGCTTTTCTTGTTCGTAATCTTTTTCACTGTTAATGCCACAACGAAATCATTGACCTCCCAATGACGATAATCAATGAGTTTCTTCATTGCCTCCTTTACTCTCTCTCTCTCTCTGTCTGTCTTTTCCTCATCCTCTTTCTCTGTCTGTTCCTTTTCTTTTTCTTCTTCTTCTCATCATCAACGTAATTTATCGACCTGACTTCGGAACTGTTCATTGATTGGCCATTAAGCTTACAGAATGTGCTAGTGTTTACATTTGAACCGGTCTTTTTTTCATCTTACTTTTATTTATCTTCTCTTTCACTTTTTCCCTTTTTCTGTGTCTTTCTTTTTTACCATAATCTTCTTTTTCTTCCTCTTCTTGCTCGTCTTGCTGTTTTAAGACTGATCAACAGATAAGCGTACACCCAGATGCTATCGGCTTTCATTGATTGATGTCAATTCTCGCGAGCCTTTACTTTTCCTCTTGTATCTCTTTTCCTACTTTTATAACACAATTTCCATGGCTATTTTACTTTACTCTCGACGATAATAAATCGAGCAACACCATTTATCACCGCAATCAATTAACCTTTTAACCAAGATAGTTGCATCTCTAATGTTCACCTCCGATGAGTTTATTGTAGAGATGAAAAAGTGCATTTGTTTTATTTCCCTCTTAAAATTGATGCCATAACATTAAGAGTAGTTTAATCATCTTGACTAGCCACAGTAATTTCGTATCCAATAAAATCCATAAAATTTGACCATTTGTTGGTTGACCAACTCCATGTTAAAAAGGGAATAACAGTAAATTTCCAAATGTCCGTTTCGTTGAATATCTAAATGAGACAAGAAAAGAAAAGTTATTTTCACATTTCTCAAATAGTCTTTGAAAATTTTCACTTCAAAGGTAAACCTAGCTTAACCCTGTAATTTTCAACTCGTGGTTACAAGAAAGTGATGAGAGTCTATGAAGCAAGAAACATCATCTTGTGTTTCATCTTTTCTTTCATTTATTCGTCTCATCCCTTGTATTTAACCTATTCTAATAACCCTCTTTTTTTGCTCTCTCCTTTCTTTACCTTTACAGATATTTTTCTTCTCTTACAACCTTTTCTTTCTCACCTTCCTCTTTACTCGGCTTCTTAACAACTGCAACAAAAGCTCATTCTACTTAATCTTACAGTTTTGAGAGTAAAAATTGGCCTCAGGTCAGAAGGGCTCTTAAACAGGTAACTCAACATTTACCTCGCAAAATAAAAGTCTATGGATTCAAAAAGTTTTATCCTTCGTCATTGTTTATCCTGATTCAACATGAGATTCAATGGTAACCTTTTCAAAGGAACATCAATGTTGATGTTATCATCAGCGTTACTTTTCCTTCCTCTTTCTTGCAATCAATTGATAAATTATCGCCTTCCTTTTCTTTCATCTTAATAACTGAATGAATTCACAGCCAGACAAGATGAAACTATCCCAGTGATTTATTTACACAATTATCTCATGGCATCTTTAACCAAATCAATTTTTAAATTCATGGCCGGATCAAAGCCACATCGGAATAAATTTACTTCATCATCATCGACAAATTATCAAGACTTTTTTTTCGCCTTCATTTTTGTTAATATTTTGTGTTTCATTTCATTAACTTTTTTGACGACAGTTTCGGCTGTTACATCACCGGAATCGGAGGAATCCAATTCAGTAGATTGTTCACCAAATGATCCCAATTTTCCATTGTGTCGACATTGTCCCTGCAATCGAGCTGGAGTTTTGGATCCAGAAAATTGTGATGAACCTTGTGAGTGTAAACCTTCAGTGATCGGTCAATTTTGTGACCAGTGTAAACCCGGTTATGTTAATCTTAATTCAGATAATCCAGAAGGATGTACAAAGTGTTTTTGTTTTAATGTAACAACATCTTGCCGAATAACTTATTGGCCTTCCCAAATAATAACAAACCCAGCAGATTGGCAAATAACAACATTATCTGGAGGTGAAATAGTTGACCCTCAACAAGAAGATGATCACTTAGTAATTGCCGATGATGATGCACCTTCAGCTCCATATTATTATTGGTCGGCTCCTCGTGAATATCTTGGTGATATGTATGCAGCTTACGGGCGAAAAGCAAAGATATCTTTAAGTGCCACCGTTCTTCGAGGTGATTCAGCTGGTAGTCCTGTCTATGGACCTGACATTGTTTTGGAAGGAGAAGATTCCCAAGGGTCAAGATTGTTGATTGGTCACAGTTGGAAACCAATTCCATTTGTTCGCGCTGAACGAACAAAAATTAATAGAAAAATTGTACTTTCTGAGCGCAATTGGTTTCGATTAAATGATGATGGGTCAAATAGTTCCAGGGTTACACGTGATGAATTTGTTATGGTTTTAAGTAACTTGAAACGTTTTCTGATACGAGCTTATTTTCATACAGACCAAATTGAAGGATCTTTTTACAATGTTGACGTTTTAGTTGCATCACCTAACGGAGAAACAGATTCGGCAACGGGTCGGATTACACAAGAGTGTGATTGTCCCGAAGGCTACGAGAGACCTTCTTGTGGTCCAGGATGTTCACCAGGCTATAGACGAGTAAATAATACGCTAATTGGAGGAATCTGTGAGAAATGTTATTGTAACAACCATTCATTAACTTGTGATGCTTTTACTGGAGAGTGTACCCAATGTTTACACAATACCCAAGGTGCTAGATGTAATATGTGCTCTTTTGGCTTCTATGGTTTCCCGTTAAACGGTCAACCTGACGATTGTAAACCTTGTGCTTGTCCACGTTTAGAGCCTTCCAACAATTTTTCACCAACCTGCATTGCAATTAGTAGAGATGATTATGTTTGTGATGCCTGTCAATGGCCTTATACGGGTCCCAAGTGTAATCAATGTGTAGAGGGTTTTACTGGAGATCCAACAACATTAGGCGGCTCATGTGTTCCGATTGAGATTACAAGTACTACCTCAACTACTACAACAACAACAACTACAACAAGTATACCAAGCACAACAACACGAACCACAACCACAACAATGTCATCTTGGATTCCAACTGAAATGACAACGTACTACTGGCCAACATATACAGAAACATGGAAACCATATGAAACAACGTATTGGTATGAACCATCAACGACGGTACCACCACCACCCTGTCGATCCTACGAAACAACAACACTACCTCCTCCTCCTCCTCCTCCCCCGCCAACAAAACCATTCATAGTAACTTATGAGAATTGTCAACACTCTTGTGCTGGTCTTCACTATTCAGATATCTGGGATATGGAAGTAACTTTGAGTAAAATAAACATCGATGATATATTTCATTTTCCATATGCATTAGCCTCTTTGATAAGGAAAGAGGTTAATTTAAGAGAGTCTTTGAAGCATAGACATTTTATCTTAACTAATGGATTAACTTTGATTGGTGGTTTGACGGGTGAACTGGAATTTAATTTAACCATGGATCCATTTGTGGGAAGAGTAAATACTTCAGAAGTTATAGCAATCAACATGATTAACTCACTCTCAGAGCTTCTTGGACTGTCAACCACAGAAATGAATAACGTGCGGTCCCTTCAATCTTCCATTCATCAAACAATTTCTTATATTAATTCCATTTCAAGTGATATCAGTGCAAATGAACCAAACTTTTGGGATGAAATGATTCGACGAGCCAATTCTTGGGTTACTGAAATGTCAAACATTGATTTGACCTCCAAATTAGCCGATTCAATTGTTGAACGAGAGCAAAGTGTAGTTTTTCTCAATCAAGTTTCATCTTTTCTATCCACCTACAGAGAACAAAATTCGCTTCTCGAACGAATAAACCGATTGAAATATATTTTGCACCAAATAGAGTTTATAATAAATGAACAAGTCAATTCGCCGGTTTATTTGGTAGATCAACAAATGACGAGCGTTCGTAATTCAATAAATGCTTTAGTATTGAATGCCACTTATAACCAGGAACGAATTGTTAAATATAGTGAATCTATTCGAGAAGGTTTTAATCATCTGGAAGGATCTCAAGTGTACTTTTCGATAATCAACAAAGTAACTGGAGACTTAGAAACTATGTCAAATGATTTAAATCGTTCAATTCTGGCTGTTGAAAGAGTCCGATCCATTTATTCCAGACTTAATCCTTTTTATGAAGATGTTTATGTTAATCGGTGTCGTGACAGGGTAGATAAAGAATTGAGCAGGATCAATGGAGCCATAGAAGAGTATAACATGACAATTAATTTACTCAAACCCTACATTGATATCCCACAGTCAAATAATCAAACCGTTGTTTTGATTGAACGGGCAGAGATTGATGCAGAAAAGGCAATTAACACCATTGTAAGTCAAGTAATAGATTCTGTTGTGAATCAAGGAACGACAAGTAGGGCAACAGAGTTGAGAGGAACCAGCAATCAAATTTATCGGGAAGTTGTTCAACAATCTTTAACCATTAGCGAGCGTTCGTCTGAATTGATTGAAGTTACTCGTTTTAATGAAGAGTCTCGATTGGTAACTGATTGTTTTAAATCTCATGAAACCATCCTAGAGGAGTTGAATAATTTCACAGTTTCAATTGAAGCTTCATCCAGGGATACAATTGAATTTTCATATATCTTGGATATGGGACTGAAAAGTATTGAAAGTAGAGTTGCTGAAATCAACGAATCACTAGGTATAATTGAAGGTCCAAGTGCAGTACGAGTTGAAGAAAAATGGCTTGCTGAAATGAATGAGGCATCAAACCTGGTTAACCAATCATCAAACTTAGTTCAATCAATTTCGGTTAATACTGAACGACTATCAGATGTAGCTTCAAAAGTAAGGCGTCAGCGTCAAGGGATGGACACTAATTTAGCTGATTTAAGAAAACGCATTCTACTAGCCAAACAAAAAGCTGCAGAAATAAGAATTGCCTTAGCCTCTGAACCTGATATGTACTGTATCAGATCATATGTGGTAGAAACTCAACCATCGTCAGCCAATTCCATCTCTATGAATTATGCTATTGATCAGGAAAAGGTTCGAGATGCTTTGATTTTTTCCATTGTGAATCCAGATGATGGCGATTTTCTTGCCATAGATATGGTGGATCGCTCTATTAGATTTCTTTGGTCTTTAGGCACTAATGGTTTGACAATAATAGAGCATCCAATGAAACTCGAAACAAGCCCAGAAAACATGGAAGAGGATGCCCATTGGTACCACATAGAGGCTGAAAGAATAGGAACAATTGGAACACTGAATGTACAAAGAGTCGTTGATGGCAATGCTTTATCTGGTAACCCGGTTAAATCTGTTTCATCAGCCAACTATTCAATATTAGATGTAACAAGTGCTCATCGTTTGTGGATAGGTGGTCATCTTGAATTAGATGGATTCTTTGTTCCTAGTGGAGCTGTTTCCAAAGGATTCCAAGGTTGTCTAGCTGATTTAATGTATGATGAGAAGCACATTGGTCTTTGGGATTTCAGTTATACCTCTCCAACCGGTTGTAAGCCATGTTCGAAGAGTGCATTAGAATCAGGAGAATATGGCGTCTTTCAATTTAATGGCAAATCATCATATTCCGTATTGGATCAAATCCCACGATATGATAATAGAAATTACCAAGTAGTGATGTTGATGAGAACCTTTGATGAATCCGCAATAATCTTTTTCTGTTCAGATGTTGATACAGGAAATTACATCGCTATACACATTGTAAATGGACGTGTATCATTCTCTTTCCGAGATAGTCCGGAAACATGGCTAAAATTGGTTACCACAGATAAATATAACAACGGTGAATGGTTCAGGGTAACAGCTGCAAGATCAGAAACACGGGCAATATTATCAGTGGATAAAGAAAACATTGAAGGTGAAGTTGAAGCATATAATTCCGATCTAGGTGATTGTAAAATTCACTTTGGAGGAGTCCCACCAAACTTTACAACTCACCATTGGCCTAATCTTGATTTTAAACCATTCCTTGGTTGCATGAAAGATGTTCAAATCGATACAACACCGTTAAATCTAATGAATGGAGAAACATTTGGATTATCGACTGGATGTAAAAACGATTTACCAAGAAGTGCAAAATTCAATGGACAAGGATATCTTGAAATGAAAGGCTTACCTTTACGTGATAATGATGTAATAAGTTTAACATTCAAAACTAATCAAAGTGAGGCCATCCTTTTGATGGCCACTTTTAAGAATCCCAAAAAACCTAAAAAAGAACTTGTAAGTATACAAAAACACCAAACAAAAACAAAACAATACGTAATGGAAATAAGAAGCATAAAAAGCATAACCCGGCGGCTCACTTTTATGCGAAAAATCATTGTTATGCTAACAAAGCTCATTAAGATAAATTTTTAATTTGAATTTTTTTCTTTTCATGTAGCAATATTATTCTTTAGCTATAACTGTTGGATCTCTTGAAGCTCGATTTAATCCTGGCTCAAGTGAAGCTTTGTTAATTTCTCGGGTCTCGGTAAATGACGGAAAATTTCATACGGTAGCAATTACCAAAAGAAATAGAAGGTTTGTTTACTATTTTTTAGTTTTCAATTTTCGCTTTCACTTTGTTTTTCTTTATTTTTAATAATGATCTTTTCATAATGTTCAATTATCTGTCTTATTATCATCTATTTGTAGAGTTTGGATGACTGTTGATGATTATGAAGTCGTTACAGCTAAACTTGGACCAGGTCGTAATATTGGTGCCTCAGCCAGTGAAAGTGAACTCTTTATTGGTGGTGTACCACAATCGTCTGAATGGTTTAAAATTTTGGGAACTAATCAATCTCTGAATGGAGTTATCAAAGATTTTATTACTGATGGAAAAGTTATTTATTTCAATAATTTTGTGACTTTTGACTCCGTTGAAATTGGACGAGGAGTTTAAACGAGGATGAAGAAAAGGATGAGGATGAAGAAAATATTGAAAGCCTCAATTAAAAGTTAATTCAAATTTGCAATCAACGAAAAAGATTTCTATAAACAGTGAATTGTATCATTTTTTTACTACAAATCACCGAGTGCCTATTCATTTAATGTGTATTGTGTATATATTCATCTTTTTTCTGAACTAATATTAAACAATCATTCTATTAATCAAAAAAATAGTTCGAAAACATCATTGACCTAACAATAAACATAGCCTGTCAAACTGATTAGAGCAAAGCTACTTGATTTTACGCTCGGTTTAAGTTTATTTATCTGGACCAATGGATTAATAAATCTATTTTAATATATTGTTGTAAGTTCCCTGATACATTCATAAGAGATAAGCGCATTAGATTGATCTATTGATAACCTCGACCATTGAACCTGAGGTCCAAGAAGAGTATCAAAATTAGATTCAGAGATTTAAGGAAAGTCTAAAACACTAACTAATGGACGTTGGTACACTAAAAGTAATCTTGAGATGATCTTTCTAGTGTCCATTTTTTCTGCGAACAACTTTGCCATTCCTCTCACATTATGAGAAAGAATCAAGATTTTCTTCCATATTTATGTTCACTTCTATCATTACAATCAATCTAAATAATAAAGAAACCTTTGAATTTAGCGTTATTGTTATTATATCTCTGTAATTTAACTATTGCAAAAATCGTCAGCCATCAAGTGATTACATAGAATATCAACATCTTTTTGATAGACTAGGCTCGTAAATGTATTTGATTTTAATCATATTTGCATTTACAATATGCTTAAATAAAACTGTTATAAAAGTTATCTTGAGATTTCAGAATCTTAACCAGACTTTATCCGCCACCTGATGGAAGCAAAATGAATAGAAGATGTAAAATAAAAATGGGAAGCTAAATAAAGGAATGTAAACAAATGATGTTCCTCTCTACGTATTTATTGTCTCTAATTGTTAATTCTGTTTCATTTTCTACGTTATTTCTATTTTTTTATTCAAGTCATACAATTCAAATGGTTTAGTGCGATGCTTCCTGTGGACAATAGGTGTTCACGTTCTTTGATGAACGAAGAAATAATGACTAACCATGACCCTTTGCCTATTGAGGCAGTTGATTCATCCGTTGGTATATCTTCAGAGGATCTTCCACACTATTTAAATTGTGTTGAATCGATCAAACATATGACTTCATCATTCCTGAAACCCCAACAATCACGTGAGTTAAATTAAATATTTTCACATGAAATAATTCAGCCATCAATCAACATCATCCAATACTCAGAGAGATATGTTTCATAATCATAACGTTATATCGTTCGATGTATCTTACCTGTTTTGCTTTTTTATTTTCATTGGTCTGGATAATATTCTGGATCATGAAGTACATTCAAAACTCTTTAATGTATACTTTATCGTCACTTACAGCTTCTTTGTACCATCTTTCATCATGTAACTAAAAGATTTTTCTTATTATTTCTCATATGCATTTTGCATAATCAATCTAGCACTGTCTCGCCCGATGCAAAGGAAATTGATTAGTCTCTTGCAATGCCAACTTGTCGAAGGAGAAGGTCGATTACGAGCCATGAGAAATGCTCGATCCATCGGTGAAAGAGCTTTATCCGAGCTTCTCATAAAGCATCAAGATCCTCGTACATTGAGGTTAGTTGCATTATAAGCTAAATATTAGTAATCTTTATTTACATATTATTCATTTTATAGTGCCAATTTATGGGCTGCTGTTCGCGCTAGAGGCTGCCAATTCTTGGGACCCGCAATGCAAGAAGAAGTCTTGCGACTTGTTTTGTTAGCTCTAGAAGACGGAAGTGCTCTTTCTCGCAAAGTTCTTGTTATGTTTGTTGTTCAAAGATTGTCACCTCATTTTCCTCATCAAGCCAGTAAAACTGCTATTGGTCATGTTATCCAGTTGTTATATCGGGCTAGCTGCTTTAAGGTGAGCTTTTCATCATTTTACTGTGCAATTCATGTTTGCACGTTTGCTATTTTTCTTTACATTGTTTATTAACTCTATCACAAAGATAAGAGTTTTTCGGATTATTATATCCTATCCTTTCTGTGATTTATCGTCTCTTTTGTTATTTCAGTTTTTCCCTCTTTTCATCTATCTGATTCTAACTAAATCATGTGATGCTATTTTTATCAATATCAGTTAACTAAAAGAGATGGTGATTCAAGTTTGATGCAACTTAAAGAAGAGTATCGCAGTTATGATGCCTTAAGAAGGGAACATGATAATCAAATTGTAACAATTGCGCTGGAAGCTGGCCTACGGATCTCTCCAGACCAATGGTCATCACTTCTTTACGGAGATTCTGCACATAAATCGCACATGCAATCCATTATCGATTCTGTAAGTTAACTTGAGACTAGTTTTTCAATCATCTACTATCTGATTAATTTATTGCATTTTATTAATACTAAAATTTTCATTTATTTTCTCTATTTATTCTACAATTTAGCTGCAATCACCATCATCTTTTCAACAATCAATTACTGAGCTAATGTCTGCTCTTCAACGTACAGGTGATCCTGCAGGACTAGCCAACCTCAAAGAACATTTTGACCGGTTAGCGAATATTGATTTGGGTATAAATAATGGTTAGTCGACGTTTCAATTTAAATATCGACTGTTATCTTTTATCTGCTCTAACAAATTACTGTATCAACTCTTTTTTTTAACTTAGAACATCCAGTTCATCCATCGCATTCTGAGTTAGCTTCAATCCTTGAATCATCAAAAATTTTGACTTCTCGATTAATTGAGTTTTTGCACAACCATTCCTCTGGATTGTTTCGATCTAACACAAATCATCGACCGTCGATAGCAATTCCGGCTAATTTAACCCAGAATCGTGTTAATCGAGTAAAATCTCTTCCTATCGTTTCATCTAATACAAGTCAACCATCTTCATCGCCAATTCAAAGTCCCACAGAGAAATCAATTTTTCACTTTATTCCATCTCGGCCAAAAGATATCGTTACTCATCGACCCTGTTCTTCCACACTTGCCAATCGAAATGTTAATACATTGATTTCTCATCCTCATCAATTAACATCATCAACTCCTCCACTTCCTCTGGCTTCTTATCATCCAACAGCCTTTCCTCCACCACCCAACAATCATCCTCACCATCATATAACTGTCTCTCCTTATTTAATTGCTGGACATTCAAAGTTCCCAACAGACAGTGAATCCGTTGCATCTAACTCTATTGCTCTGGCAACTATTCCTACTATCCTAATTGACCCAAACTCAGGTCATCATCACCCTAGTCCTGGACCAACGGCCATATTAAGTTCATCCAAGTTGACTGGCCTTATAACCCCAGTCACACCAATCTCGCTTAAAACTGATACTAATTTAACATCATCTACTTCACGTCCACCTTTCTCTCTGAAAACTGCCGCACTGCCTTCCGATGATGATCAATTCATACCTTTCGATGAAAGATCATTCGTCTCAAAATATGGTCCTATTTCTCGAACTATGAATCTTATCAACACACCAACAGTTGCCAGTCCAGGCTCCAACTCTCAGCGAGTATGTAACAATAATTTTATTGGAAACAGTGCTGCAGAAACACAACCCACCAATGTAATACTTGGACGACCACTTCCTTCCCTAACACTCATCCAGCCTCTTCAACAATTGGTACTAACAGCTACATCGGCAATTTTAACTGATGACCCACAAACATTTAATCATAATCAAACGGATCGACTGCAAGACAACCCTTATCCAGATGAATCTGTTGTTCGTCAAGTTAACAATGTTGCTCCTGCTATATCATTAGCTTAAAAAGTTATCATCATTTGACTTGAAAGTTTCATAGAAACACAATAAAACTCGCATCATTTAATTAAATTAATGGCATGAGATCGCGATCGATCTAATCGTTACTCATACAGAATTATATTCTCCGAAAACCACTAATGAATGTCCTCGAGATTTGATGAAAAAACTAAAAGGACCAATATGGTAATAGAAACTGAAAAAACTGAAAGCATGACTAGGATCCCCAAAAATCACTTTTAAAAAAGGCTTTTCATTTTGCTCATTATTTTCCAAGTCTATTGTTGTCCCTATGTAAACCATTGATTCTCATCTAAACATTGCGATTTATTTTTTATATTAACTGATTGCGTCCCAAAGTGTATCCTTTAATTTATTACTTTTCACTCCAAAGAGTTTATTCAATATTTAAGGATATATGGTGAAATGGTTAGCACTGTGTTTAAATCCATAACCGATAATAGACGAAGATGGTTGCAGGGGAAAGAAAGATAACAATTCCTGATTACTCTATTACTTGTTGGTTACTTTGAATTAATTGAACATGAAGCCTTGCGCTCAATCATAACTTTTGTGCTCTGGAACAGTTCAGTGGTTTTTGGCGCTCTATCTTCAACAAAAGAGATAATAAATTAAATAAAAGTGTATTAAATTTATAAAGTTTCACTATTACCTTTTCAATTGATCTTTGCCATCATTTCTTCTTTATTCCGATTTTGTCCGTGTTTCAATATCATTTATTTAAACTTGTTTTAAACAGCAAATTTTGGATTGACTAAAGTCCAGGTGAAAATTCTGAAATCAGTAAACACAGTTTTCATTGAACACAGGCCCACAAATCCATTTCATCAGTTTCACTCAGTGTGATGAAATGATGCTTCGTTCTATCAGACTCGATAACAGAAGTTACGGTCAAATTAAAGAGATCGATATAACGCTTCGATATATGCTTGCGAGGGTAAAAGAGTAGAGTAGAAGAGTTCAAGAAATCAATTGACCATTGTCAATCCAAGACCAGAAACAATTGGTCATTATTTAAAGCACTGTTTCAAGTGAAAAGCAATGAAAAATTTAAACTACTTCACTTGGATAAACCACTAGAGTTCATACTTAGAAACAGTTGGAATTGCGATCGTGCTCTTGAATGTAAAAGTGGACGGCATCATGGAGAGTGAACAAGCACAAGACAAAGAAAGATTTGCCCGTGAAAATCACAGTGAAATTGAACATAGACGTTGAAATAAAATGACTGCCTACATTACTGAATTATCTGACTCTTATCGAGACGTAAAAATAATAAAAATTACTGCAAGATGATTGCAGCTCACGACATGTTTTTATGTATTAATGAAACAAATATAAGAAAGTACCAGTTCCTTCGATGAGGCACAATAAGTTAACGATTTGAAGATTGTACTGTTCTTTCAACTTGGATTGATGTTCGCAATGCACGTTGCTATAAATGTATAGTTGACTTGAAACTATGGATTTATTTTAATCTTCTTTAACGCGAAGCAGAAAGAGTTTTGAGGAAAGAAGAGAAAATTGGCAAACCTCATTCTTATATGCCTTACCTAATCGATTTTGGAATGGTTATTCAGAAATCACCATTTTCTTGTCGCAGCAACCCGAATCACCACGCGTTTCTATCTACTTTGGGGGTCTATATGGGATTAAAAGGACCAATCAACGCTGTCAATAATTAAAGAAGTAAATCGGGTGTTTCATCACGTCTTGAGTCCTAATAATAAACCATAACTGTATCTACTTTTGCTATATTTATTCTGTCTCATGAAAAAATCAGAGAAAACAATATTTGTCAAACTTTTAAAGTTTTGTTTTCTTTTGGCCTCTTTATGATTCACTTGATGAAGGCATAGTCGACCAATGTTTCACCAATTGACTTCAAATTTCATATTTAAATCGTATTCCGGGAAAATAGTTCCTTTAAGTCTAGAGTCTGAGTCCATTAGTGATATTGAAAAATTTGTCTGATGGATAGTTTTCGAGAGAATCGAGGTCAAAGTTAAAACTTCGATCGACTTTTTTCAACGAGATTTTTCCATGGAACTTATTCCGAAATTTCTTAAACTTATTTGAATTTAAGAGTCTCATTTCAAACGCTCGCTCAGACTACGCCGGCTCACAGCTGACTAGTTCATCATGTAATACATAACATACATTTACATAACAAAACAGAAACCACACAAAATATAATAATCTAGTAAATAAACAAAGAATTTAGTAATTTGATGTAAAATTTCCTCACAGTATGCAGCCGATGGACCCATTTGATTGCGGAACGAGCTAAAAAAGTTAAATATTTGCTCGGTAAGACTCAGATTAATATCAATACTAATTCTCATTGAATAAGTTTGCTCATTCATTCAATTCATACTTTCAGAGCATCGACAGAGTTGATAAAGTAAAATCGTCTCCATTCAGTACCATCTACAATCGTAATGAATTCAATCGAGTAAATGGCCATTTGATAGCTTTCGATATGTTTGTAGCGTTTGCATTGAGCGCAAGTTTTCGTTTTCCGAAGAGCCAAAAGTGATTACAGTAAATTGACACTTATTTTGACCTAAAAAACAGCGCCGTCCATCATATTGCCAATAGTGCGGAGACGAAAGTGCTATTTAAATTATCCTAGCACTGTTTATAAAATGGCTAGAGTTTGGATACCAATAGATGGCTCTCATTTTTTGGTCAAAATAAGTGTCAATTTATGCATACCAAGATCATCGATGATATATTGTTTTGAAGGAAACTCTGGGTAACGCTTTTTTATCTTATGACTTCCGCATGTTTCATCAAGTCTGTCCTAGTTTTTTTAAATCTTTGGCTCATTCATAAAGAACTGTATAAGAACTGTATTATATCGTTTTATCGATTATTTTTGTCAACATTGCGTCTTCATTGATCATTGTGAATCTTTTAGGTTTAACGCATTAGTTGATTTTGAAATGTTTATCAATGAACTTCCAGACGATTGTTTGCTCATCATTTTTGATTCATTGAATGAATTGGGTGATTTATTAAACTGCTACGAGGGTAAGTTTGTTTTAAAAAAATCATGTCATTTTTATTTTATTCATTAAAATAGAAACTAATACTATGAAAAAGTGATATAGATTAGATAACGAAGTTCGGTTACCGAAGCCAGTGAAAATTGAGCTAGCCATCTAGATGCAAGCCAGATTTGCTATAGCTAGTATTAATAGATAAGCTGGCTTTGCTCTGAAATTTAAACTTTTTAATGTATTCCTCAAAAACCAAGCAGTCAAAAATTGAATAAATTTTCAGAAAAACTTACAGTGGGTTGAATGTATTGTTTTCAGTTGAGTATGAAGTAGGAAGCTTGGCCCTACACTTACCAACCAGAAACGGCACCACTCGCAAAATAGCTTATTCACACTATTCGTCGGTCAGCATAATTCATGACTCTCAATCTTAATAGGTTAAATTTAAGCAAAAATGTTGTTTTGAACTGATTTTGAAAGTTTTGGATTGTTATTTTACAAAAGAAAATTGAATTAAGACTGTTGATTATTCGTGAAATCGAATCAAAATTCGACGAAATTCAAAAGTAGATATTCGTCATTTATTGAACAATTGGGGGTGCCAAAGTGGCAAAACCGCTCGCTGTTACGAAAACTACAAATTCGTAATTAAATAATCATCGAGCAAACCAACAGAAAATTCAGTAATTTAATAAAAATTTTGTTACAGTTTGCAGCAAGTGGCGCTATTTAATTGCAGAGCGAACTCGCAAAGTTAAATATTTTGTTGGTAAGATTCAAATCACTTTCAATACTTGTTCTCACATTGGATAAAATCACTATTTATGCAATTTATATTTTCAGAACATCGAGATGACTGGAGTGGTGAAACATTTCCAAGTCATCTTATTGATCATGTTTATTATGGATCACGGGAACCAATTGATGCCACTTGTTTCAGCACATTGTTTCCTAATTTGACGGTTTGTTGAATCCAATAATCACTCTTATTACCTTAGATTGCCGACTTTTCTGATGGATTCAGTAATGAAGTAAAATATGAAGATACTGTTACTCTGGTTAAAAAGATAATCTTTTAAAGGAATTTTTTGTGCAATATTCATTTTGTTATATTACTTGTCTTATTTCCTTAGATTGCTGATTTTCGCAACATTCGTGGAAAAGTAAACTATGAAGATCTTGTTGGGATTATCCAAAAGATGAAATCTTTAAAAGGATTAACTCTTACATATTTTAAAGACAACGGTTACATCTTTAGAGACGTTGAATCAGCTTTCAAGTATTGTGGTGAACTCGAAATGGTAGGCGCGTGTTCTATTGAACCATGGATACTTAAGAATGGTCCCAATATTAAACAATTATGCATTATGAGCTATGATTCGTATGTTTTCGTGAGGGATGGGCATAATTTTCCAAATCTGGAAAGAATACACATTGGTCATGAATCAGGTGATGATGGTTACCCTATAGGTGATTTTGATTTTTAAATAGATGATTTTTGAATGCTTTATGAACAAATTTTGATTATGGACATGCATCTTTTATCCTCAGAGGAGATAGAGCACCACCAATACAAAGGTCTCATATTCAGAAGACTTAAGATACTTGAATTGTATCTAGAATCTTATTATGGTTTCCAGTTCATAGATTCATGTCCAAATTTACAAAGCGCATATATTCAATTGATGACGCCGAACTTTTTTGTCGATGAATCAATAAAACATGAATCTTTGCAAGATTTAGTTATAAGTTGTGTAAGTATTAATTTTACTTGCAATGCATTTGATTATTTGTGAAATATTCTTGAAATTTTTCCTAACCAAACACAATAAGAAGAAGAATATAGAGATAAAAATATTAATTAACTAATTTGTATATGTTCAGGGTTTTGATGATATTGATTTTTATGGTAATGCTATGTTAGACTGGAATGACTTGAAAAGATTGTTCATGAAATATCCAAACCTCAAACATCTTGCACTGTGCAACAAATTGAGCCTGAAAAATGAGCATGTGGAGCAATTGGTTCGAATTTTCCCCAATTTGGTGTTACTTGATGTTCGTGGTTATTCAGATGTCACTCAGGAGGCTTCTGTTTATGTTGAAGATTATAGCAAACTACATGGACGATCAATCGCTTTTAATCGCAACGACTCTCATTGGCCTCCGTTTAAATCTAAGTGGGAACCAGTCGTTCATGGTTTTGATTTCATGAAACATTGTTTTTACAAAGCTTTTCAAAAGCTTCCTACTTTCTTAGTCTCTAGTGATTACTAAATGGTTTGGTTTATTCAAAATTTTGTCCGATTATTTGATTTCGGAGATGAGCTCTTAATTTTTTATTACAAATTTGAATTGATCTGTCATTGATTGTCAGTCTAATTACTATCGCTATTACTATTACTATATTTTTTTGTCATCGCTCACTACCTTGGAAAGTGCAACCGTGAAATGAATTGGTTGTAGCTCGTAGAAATCGTTTAAAGAGTTGTTTAATTTCGAATAAACGATTCGAGTCAGCCCGATCTTGACTTATCCATTTTTTCAACATATACTCTTCTGTCAATTCAATCTGACCTCAATGGGGCTGTATTTGCTGTTCGTGTTTGTCTGGGGGTCACTCAAAAGGCTGTCCATTGTGTCCAAGGTTTTGATTTCATGAAACATTGTTTTCTCAAAGATTTTATGCACCTTCCTACTTTCTTAATCTCTAATGATGACTAATAAATAACCAAATTCACACACAAATTGTATATTTATTGGTTTCTCAATAATGAGTCTACAATATTTTCATTCAGTCATAATTTGAACTGTTCTTGTGAATTCAAAGTACGCAATATCACAGAATTTTATTTCGATTTCTTCAAATGTCTTAAGATACCACAAAACTACAAACATTTATTAGGTCAAAAAAGTCTTTAGAACTTATATTAAAAATTGAAATAAAAAGATATCTGATGGAGTGGACGCATATGGAATTGATTGAAGCATGAAATGGATGAACGATGTCCGGACCTTTCGCCTGACTTACAAAAAATTAAATGTTTATTGATTAACTTTCTTTTACCATTTCTATTATAAATCGACAATTCACTGAATGATGACTGTTAATCATATAAAATCAAGTATTACCAATGATTATGGTACACACAGACGTTCATTTCGCACGGATCAAGAACGCAATCTACTCATTTTAAAGGTAATTTATTAAACATTAACATCCATTTTTGTTTGATCGATTTTGAAGTAATCAAAATGATTTCTCAGTAGAAACTGTTACAATCTATTTACATTATTTGATTACATGATTTATATTTTGTTAGACCTATTGATAAATGAGATGTGGAGGCAACGCACCATCTAAAGACTGGAAGAAAACCAATGCCAAAGACTCCTCGTAACCTGGAAGCAAACCTGATGTTGAATGCCTTTTGTGTCTCTTAAGACCGAACCAGGTATATAATTGGATACGATTAATAATTAACTCTGGATGTTTGATTGATCTAATGTAATAGGTTGCCACTTTACCAGCTGATGGACCGCGCTCATTATCTAATCGAGAAAATATTATTTCTGAAGCTGGTAAACGTAAATATCCAACTCGTTTGTTATCAGCTAAAAGGTAAATCATGATATCAGGGAAACCGTCTTGTGGATCAGCGAGCAAGTCTTCAATCTTTCCCAAGTAATTTGTCACAGTCGATAGAGATTCTGATAAATTGGTTTCGTTCAATGCAATCAGTGTTTGTTTAACATCATTTGATAGTTTAATCAGCTCTCGTTGACGGTATTTAATAAATAAAATGTCCAACTCGTTTTTAGGATATTTGGATGGAGTCACTGTGAGAGCCAAAAATCTATTACAATGAACCATTAAGTCTTCCAAGACTCCACGAAATCGGCGGCATGTGTCTTGATGTTCAACCAGAGCCATTTCTCGGACATCAGTTAAACCAAATTCAAGTTCTTCTCGAATCCGGACAATCATATTATGTACATAGGTGCGATGCCGTAAATCGATAATCATCTGCTCAATTCCAAGTAAAGGTCTTGTTTTACCCAATGGTAAACACAGGTAATCATCTTCACCTGTCACCGGTTTTAGAGGAGTCGTAATTGTTGATTTGTCTGGAGCAACTTGACTTTGTTTGTCTTCAGAAATTGAACCACGCTCAGATTTTCCACTGGAACGTGAAATCGCTGTCAGTATGGAAGAAGTTTCAGTAAATTTGTTTGTGTCTTGTTCGGAATAACCTTTGATTGGTGTTGATCTTTCTGGCAGTGAAGATTTGTCATCTGTTCCACCATCTATGACAGAGATTGATGTTAAATCAAGAATGCTTGGAGATGAACATCGATCAAAGTGCATGTTATGATGACCAATTTCAACCTCATAAGATAGTTTACGATTTTCAAATTTTTTTGAAATCTTGTCAGAAGAATACAAAACTCCAAGAAAGGTAAATTCATCCTCTTTGGGATGCATCATTCCAAGCAAATCATCAATAGGTCCAGTGGTTACTGTTGGTTCCTCCAATCTTTCTGACTGTGAATTTTCCTTGTTACTTGGGTCATCAGTTGCTGTTGAAGTATTGCTGTTGTTAATAGATTGATCAAATCCTTTCGAGTTGATTGTGACAGATGATGAAGCTGCTGATAATGGTGACACTTTTGAGGATATGGAAATTAATATTCTCCCAGAAGCACAGGTGTCAGCGAAAACAGGATCTTTGGGGACTTCTTTAACGACCAGATAACTAGGTCCATAAATGGAACCAGATTTACCAGAAATGAGAAAAATTTTAGACAGGTCAATTGTCTGAACAAGTGGCTTGAAAAGTAATGAACCTGATTTGTCTTGTACTTTAATCGTCATATTTGGAGGTTTTTTTAAGTTTAATTTCGTATTAAATTTGATGCATTCATTCCAGGTTGGTGTTGTGAAACGCTTCACCGAACTTGTGCTTCCCTCCAAATCACCCAATTTAACGGTTACACAAAGTCCACTTGTCTTTTTGGATCTTATCCGGGAAACTATTTTATCTCTGGTTCTTATTTTGGACACTGGTATCTCGCCTGAGTAAATGTTTACCGAGAGAGACACTGTTTTGAGAGCATTTGAATCAAAGTGAGTTAGTCGACTTATTGGTGTTACTGGACGTATTATGGGTAATAATGACTCTTTTTTATCAACATTGGGCAGATCAATGATTAGATCACATTTGAGGTGGCCAACAAGTTCACTTGAGATTTCATTAAATATAGGAATCGATGATTCTTTAACCTTTCTACCAGGTTCATTGTATAAGCTGATAAGATCCAGATCAACTTTACCAAGAACTTTTGTTCCCTTTACCAATTTACCGGTTTTGAGCAAACGAAATGAAATGCTGTTATCAAGAAATTGTGATAAAACTGTATTAAAGGTGAAAGTGAAAGTTTCATTGAATACGATTGGATCTCCAAGGTTTGTTAATTTTACTGCTTTCCTACCAGTTTTTGCAACCTGTTCATCGATTTCAATTTTGACTGATAAATTGACTTTAGAGGCTGTTCCTGTAGCTGATACTGGAATAATCGGCGAGTTTACAGATGAAATTGTATCATTCAATGATATTTTACCTTCCTTATTTTGGTTCACTTCACTTGTAACCAATTTCACTTCAAAAACATTAACAGTTAAATTATATTTCTGTAGCTTATCAGTTAAAATGGCAGATTCCCGCCGCTCATTGGGTTCAGTCACTAAAACTGGAGTTGTAATTGAATCATGATATTCATTTGGCATCGGTGGCATTGGGTCATCCAGAGATAACAAGAAATCGTGGTCATAATCATTCGATTGGATCAATGTCATCTTTGCTGGCGAAAATATATTCACAGAATGTTAAAAAATGTAAACAATAAAAAATTGCTTTGCTCCACAAAAGATAGGATCAAAATACTTCAGCAGATCAGCGCAAGCCAATTGTTCTAGCTTTTATGGATCGATACTTTCACTAATAATAATAATGGTGTAACCTGGAATGGCACAGAGATGAGGATGGTAAAGATGAATAAAAGGAAGTGAAAGAGAGATAGAAAGTAAGTAAGGAATAGCAAAAGAGCAAAAAAATAGTTGGTTTGAAGGATGGTTATGAAGTTAGAATTTCTTCCGAGTTAACCTTGCTTCGCTAGTTAAACCGGTTCTTCGAGTTTCAGGTACAATCTTCTCTTTCGGTCGATCTCCGTACAGTCGTACGTAAAGACTGAAAGCTCAGTAAATAAGTGAATCCATGGCTTTCTTTACTCTCTCTCTCTCTCTCTCTCTCTTCTCTCCCTTTCTCACTCTATCTTGCTTTTGGTTTACCTTTAATTGAATGGACCAGTTTTGCTATCCTGATCTTTCAAGCTAATATAGTTTTAAGCTGAAAACATCTTTTCCTATTGGCGTCTAGTTTTTGTCTGACCTTGAAGGGTTCATCTTAGGGACATTTTAAGCTTAATCCATTCCTGGACGTCTCTTTTAAATGGCATCCATTTTGCCTGACTTTTTGCTTCTTGCCTTACAGGTTAAAAAAATTGACAGCCATGGACACAAGTACACAGTAAACTGATGAAAGTTGACATAAAGTGTGTTAACAATCAGGTTGCTATTGCAAACTCGGTGGCAGATCGTTTAAATAAACTCATCGCAAACGTCTTAAAACATTGAGACATAAAGCTTGAGTTTTTGACACTGACTTGTGATTTCTTTATGTTTTTATTATTGGTAGCATTTGTACACTTGTATTTACAAGTCATGTTTGGAAGTATTATTCTTTAGCAAAGTGAAGTGAGGTTCATTTTAACTGTTTATCCAGTTTTAGTTGATCATAACATCCTTAGGGAACAACTTATGAATGAAAAAATGGTAAACAATATAAAAATAGATGCTCATTACAATCTACTCTTGATTTTCGTGCAATCAGCGAAGGTTCTCTTCTCAAATCTTAGTTTGAACCTGTTTCTCCAGCCAATTATTCAATATCAGTTGTAACAAGTGATCATCGCGTGGTTTGGTAATTGTGAATGGTGATAATGGTGATTTTCGTACCCAAATATGGCATATTGTTTCATTAGGTTTCTTTGACTAATGAGATGACACGATTCTTATGAAACAAGTCCAGAAAACATGGAAGAGGATGCCCATTGGTACCGCATAGAGGCTGAAAGAATCTTTTCTATCCACCTACAGGAAACAAAATTCACCATCAACGACGGTACCACCGCCACCCTGTCGATCATACGAAACAACAACACTACCTCCTCCTCCTCCTCCTCCTCTAACATTTCTTGCTTATTGGAAACCATTGTCTCCTATTTAGAAAACTGGTTCAGCCCAAGTGGAATGATTGTATCTGGGATATGGAAGTAACTTTGAGTAAAATAAACATCGATGATATATTTCATTTTCCATATGCATTAGCCTCTTTGATAAGGAAAGAGTTTAATTTAAGAGAGTCTTTGAAGCATAGACATTTCATCTTAACTAATGGATTAACTTTGATTGGTGGTTTGACGGGTGAACTGGAATTTAATTTAACCATGGATCCATTTGTGGGAAGAGTAAATACTTCAGAAGTTATAGCAATCAACATGATTAACTCACTCTCAGAGCTTCTTGGACTGTCAACCACAGAAATGAATAACGTGCGGTCCCTTCAATCTTCCATTCATCAAACAATTGCTTATATTAATTCCATTTCAAGTGATATCAGTGCAAATGAACCAAACTTTTGGGATGAAATGATTCGACGAGCCAACTCTTGGGTTACTGTAATGTCAAACATTGACTTGACCTCCAAATTAGCCGATTCAATTGTTGAACGAGAGCAAAGTGTGGTTTTTCTCAACCAAGTTTCATCTTTTCTATCCACCTAAAGACAACAAAATTCGCTTCTCAAACGAATAAACCTATTGAACGGACAGAGATTGATGCAGAAAAGGCAATTAACACCATTGTAAGTCAAGTAATAGATTCTGTTGTGAATCAAGGAACGACAAGTAGGGCAACAGAGTTGAGAGGAACCAGCAATCAAATTTATCGGGAAGTTGTGCAACAATCTTTAACCATTAGCGAGCGTTCGTCTGAATTGATTGAAGTTACTCGTTTTAATGAAGAGTCTCGATTGGTAACTGATTGTTTTAAATCTCATGAAACCATACTAGAGGAGTTGAATAATTTTACAGTTTCAATTGAAGCTTCATCCAGGGATACAATTGAATTTTCATACATCTTGGATATGGGACTTAAAATTATTGAGGGTAAAGTACAAGGTTCGAGATGCTTTGATTTTTTCCATCGTGAATCCAGATGATGGAGATTTTCTTGCCATAGATATGGTGGATCGCTCTATTAGATTTCTTTGGTCTTTAGGCACTAATGGTTTGACAATAATAGAGTATCCAATGAAACTCGAAACAAGTCCAGAAAACATGGAAGAGGATGCCCATTGGTACCACATAGAGGCTGAAAGAATAGGAACAAGGAATTAGATGGATTCTTTGTTCCTAGTGGAGCTGTTGCCAAAGGATTCCAAGGTTGTCTAGCTGATTTAATGTATGATGAGAAGCACATTGGTCTTTGGGATTTCAGTTATACCTCTCCAACAGGTTGTAAACCATGTTCGAAGAGTGCATTGGAATCAGGAGAATATGGCGTCTTTCAATTTAATGGCAAATCATCATATTCCGTACTTGATCAAATCCCACGATATGATAATAGAAATTACCAAGTAGTAATGTTGATGAGAACCTTTGATGAATCCGCAATAATCTTTTTCTGTTCAGATGTTGATACAGGAAATTACATCGCTATACACATTGTAAATGGACGTGTATCATTCTCTTTCCGAGATAGCCCGGAAACATGGCTAAAATTGGTTACCACAGATAAATATAACAATGGTGAATGGTTCAGGGTAACAGCTGCAAGATCAGAAACACGGGCAATATTATCAGTGGATAAAGAAAATATTGAAGGTGAAGTTGAAGCATATAATTCCGATCTAGGTGATTGTAAAATTCACTTTGGAGGAGTCCCACCAAACTTTACAACTCACCATTGGCCTAATCTTGATTTTAAACCATTCCTTGGTTGCATGAAAGATGTTAAAACCGATACAACACCGTTAAATCTAATGAATGGAGAAACATTTGGATTATCGACTGGATGTAAAATTGAAATTGAATGATGGATCAAGATTTTGTAAAGCGACATCAAGAGATGATTGAATATTGAAGATAACACTAACAAATCCAAACCTTCTAAAGAAAGGTTGAGATTGATTTTAAAATGCATTTACAGTATTTTATATTGATTTTTCAATCTATTCTTTTAAATTTACTTTCAAGTGTCATGATTTGAAATTTTTCAGTCTTCAAATTTTTTTCGGTCATTTATCGACTTGTAAATTCCCATTTAAGAAAATTAATGGACAAAAGAAATATAATTCAATTTATTATAAATGACGGTATCTTTGAATTATTAAATATAGCGCGTGATTATTGTTTTACATTTTGAGTTTGCCCAAAAGAATTGCATCTTTCAATCTAAAGTGAGGTAACTCTGACTCTTTGTTTTCAAAGATCCTTGATTAAATTTGTGTTCAACTTTGTTATGATTGCAGTTTATTTATTATTCAGTGGCACATAATTTAAATTACGGTATTACAGATAAACCATTTCGCCTTGGACTGAACCCTCTTAAAATTCGGCTTCAACAGTGTTAAGGTTAGTTTCTCTTTTTTCTTTTCCCTTTACCTTACAAATTTTAAGTTCATTGAATTTTCTATTGATCATATGTAGGGACAACATAAATTCATACCCACGGAGTCTCATTTTAAGAGGGTTGATTTCAATCGCCAGAACCAGATCATGCGCCCAAGTTTTAATCACTGACAGTCTGACAAAAATACCTTTTGTTTTTTTAAAGATCGTAATTATTTCCATCAACTGTTTCTTTCCAAGTTATGGTTCATTTTGTGATTCAATCAAAATTGCATTTGTATTTTGATTGCCATCTTGCTACTGAAATCTGACCAGACTCATCTTTAAGTCTTGAATATCTGGATTCAAGTTTTTAATTTTGTGTTTTTAAAATTCATAACATTGTAAAATCATATTCATCATCAGTGTAAAAACTAAAAGTGAACGGCATCATGGAGAGTGAACAAGCACCAGACAAGGAAAGATTTGCCCGAGAAAATCACAGTGAAATTGAACGTAGACGTCGAAATAAAATGACTGCTTACATTACTGAATTATCTGACATGGTTCCAACTTGCAGTACATTGGCAAGAAAACCAGATAAATTGACCATCCTTAGAATGGCTGTTAATCACATGAAATCATTACGAGGTACAGGTAATACTAGTAATGATGGTACATACAAGCCTTCATTTCTCACGGATCAAGAACTTAAACATCTTATTTTAGAGGTAATTGAATATTAACATTCATTGTTTTTTTGTAGTCATTTTTAATTGATTAGTTTTAGTCCATTGACAATTTTTATTGGAACAAAATAGTTATATGCTATTTCTATATGCCATAATCCATATTTTAATCTCACTGTTATTGTTATCCTATTTTAGGCAGCTGATGGTTTTTTGTTCGTCGTTTCTTGTGATACAGGCCGAATAATCTACGTCTCTGATTCAGTCACACCGGTTTTAAATCATTCGCAATCAGATTTTTTCAACTCTTGTATATATGATCTTGTTCACCCTGAAGATCGTGAAAAAGTCCAAGAGCAACTTTCGACCTCAGAATCTCCCAACTCAGCAAGAATTTTAGACCTCAAAAGTAAGTTTCTTATTCCATGTTTAAAAAACAAAATTTTAGCTCATCTATTTAAATAATGACAGCTAATTTGATCTCGTTCTTATCTATTCTGTTTGCAACTTTCTATTTCTTTATTTAGCCGGAACTGTTAAAAAGGATGGAAGTCAAAATTTATCACGAATGTCGATGGGATCTAGAAGAGCATTTATTTTTCGAATGAAAGTTGGAAATATTCAACCTGATGCCTTATCTCCTGGTCATATCCATCGTATACGTCAAAGAAACAGTTTGGGTCCTTCAAATGATGGCAATGCCTATACTGTTGTTCATTGTACCGGTTATATTAAGAATTGGCCTCCAGCTGGTGTTCCAATTGAAAGAGGTTTAGACGGAGAAGATGGTCATCATGGCTCTCATTTTTGTTTGGTAGCCATTGGCAGACTTCAAGTTACTAGTACTCCAGATACCAGTGATCTAATGGGATCCAATTCAAATGCGGAATTCATTACTCGCCACAGTATGGATGGGAAATTCACATTTGTTGATCAGAGAGTTGGTGCTCTTCTCGGTTATCAACCACAAGAACTTCTTGGTAAATCTTGCTTCGACTTCATTCACCCAGAGAATCAGAATCAGATGAAAGATGCTTTTGAACAAGGTAACATTTTTTAGCAATATTGCAAAATTTCATCTTTATTGATAAATTAATACTCAAATTTGTAACTCATTTTTCTTCTATTTTATTGCAGTATTAAAACTCAAAGGACAAACATTCATGACAATGTACCGATTTCGTGCAAAAAATTGTGACTGGGTTTGGTTTCGAACATCAAGTTTTGCTTTCATCAATCCATACTCGCAAGAAGTTGAATACATTGTTTGTACTAATGTATTAGCAAAGTTAGTATTTTTTCTTGAATTAGTTACTTGCTATGATTCAGTAACAAAAAATCTGTGAATTGATTTTTTTAAATATATTTAATATAAAATAATTTGTTATATCGTTCTCCCCATTTTGCCTAGAAGTCACAATCAAGTTGGTCACGTTACACAGCAAGATCATCAAAATTCGTCTGCTGACAACTCAATGACGCACAATTATCAAACTCATTCCATTCAAGGAAACACTGGCTTAGTTTCTACTAATCAACAACCTAAGTCCGAAGGTTTAGACTACAGCTCACAACGTTCAGATGTTTACTCATCAATGATTCAACAAACACGACCTCATTTACATGGACAAAACATTGCTAATGATCGTCGACCTCCGCCAACTGCTGGTCAAATTTACGGCTCATATGATCAATCTGCGAATCCAATGAGTTATACTCCGAACAGCAGTGCATCATCAGTTCAACCTCAAGCTAATATGGGTGCTACAAATACACTATCTCAAATGAATAAGAATTCCAGCTCCAGAAATTCTCCATCACCACCAATGACTGCCTGGGCTCCAAGGCCCATTCAAAGGGTAATTACTCACATTAAAATATAATCTTTTCAAGTTAAATTCTGTTCTAATTATATTTTTCTTGATAAACAGTCTGACGGCTACAATCAAGCGTATAATCAAATCAGCCCACCTTCAAGGAGTCCATCAGGGCCAACTTACACGCAGCTCAATAGTGCAGTTGGAAATAGAGGTAATGATGATGCTTAAATTTGTTAGTGAATTAATTATTCTGATTTCAATTTCTTCCATTTTTCTCTTACTAGGTATGTGGGGACAATGGCAAGGAACTGCTACACCAGAAACTCCAGTCTCATCTGCACCCTCCGCTCAACAAACAGGACCACCTAATCATCCTCAAAATCATGTAAATTCTAATGCATCCGGTCCTCATCCACCTCAACAAGAATTATCAGACATGTTACAAATGCTTGGACAAACGGAACCAACCTCATTTGAAGATTTATCAATGTTTAATACATTCACAGAATGAAGAACAGAAGAACAAGACAAAAAGTTCCCCGAAAATAGGATTTTAACTGAATCAGTCAAACCTCTCAGAACTAGACTGGATGGGAATCACTCGAAACCTATTTAAACTCATAATGAGAATAAATATCTTTATAACGAGAGAAAAGTTTCATTGAAACTTTTTGAAAGTGAAGATTGGGAAATTGTAAAATTTTGAGAAACTTATTCTAGCTTGAAAAACTTTTGTAAAAAAATATCTCAATTCAATCAATAATCAATTGCCTTTTATACTACTGTTCGTTAAGTTTTATTTTTAATTAGACGAAAGATACAAGACGAGATAATAATAGAAACCACAGAGACAAACCAGCTGTAGCAACGTTTTACCAGTCCAAATAAGTCTCAAGAAATTGCCTAAAAATAGACTTGACATTAGATGTCAGTACGGGAAATAAACGCACAAAACTTTAGCAAATAATAAATTGCATGAAATGAATATAATGATTAGACTTTGAATGGGGAAGAGTTGACTGTCTTATTTGACTATGTTTAGATTAAATTTGCAAATTTAATTTATTTTCAAGATTGTTAGAAACTATGATGATTTAAATTCTTAATCATGACCTCGTAAAAATGAACTGATTACGGGATGAGAATGAACTTCTTTAACTTTAGCCGTTTGGAAAAATTGATAAATGTCTTCACGGCTCAAGATCGAGCAAATCTCATTGTTTTTCTGATTTGTTTACTTGTTAACAAAAAGAGGGAAAATTAAAACACTTCTTTTACCCTTTTAAAGAGACCTTCGAACTATCTTGGACTAGCAACCGAAACACTTACTAAGACAGTTCGTTTAGATTATAAAAACCTTTGCACTTCAAACTGATTTGTGATTTTTATGGTTTGATGTCAGTCATTACATCTTTTTAGATATACAATATGATTAGCCAATAATTCAAATATGAAATTGAAAAAGCCTCCAATTGTTTGAGTATTTTAATGTACCAATCACACAAATCATAACTTTCTTGTCACCTTTTAGATGGTAAACTGAAAGCACAGTTTAAACTTGACCAGTCAATTAATTTATTTCCCAGAGATCCTTTCGATAGATAATATTGTGTTAAAAATGCCTAAAACAAGTAATGAAATCAAGGAATTGGTCAGGAAGGCTCATTTCAACGGAGATAGTTCGGAAGAGATTGCAGAACGATATGATGTTAAATTAACAACTGTGCGTAAGATTATTGGACACATTGGCGTACCTAGAGTTGGATATCGTGGTGTCTTAAAGCAATCACAACGACCAAAGAAGATCAGTCCAGAAATGGTTGCTGCAATTAAACAATGGCTCGATGAAGATTGTTCAATTACTCTCGAGGATATAGTTGCTAAAATTGGCAATCAATATAATGTCAGTGTTCATCGAGATACAGTCAAGAGATACGTCGATGGATTTTATTATTCTTTCAATCGTGTGCCCATTGTACCAAGGAATGCACCTGAGGACATAGAAACGCGATTACAATATGCTAAGATGTTTGAGAAAATGGAAGAATATTCGGAAAAAATCATTTTTATTGACGAGACTCATGTCCAGGTGTTTACTCGGCTCAATAACCCCCCGTCACTTGACTTACGTAAATCTGTGACTAAACGATCTAAACACTTTTCAATTTGCGCTGCAATGGGCATCAAATCATTAATTTTTTACGGAATCAAAGATGTCGACACTTCAACCTCCAATATCACACATCATGCAAAAGATTTCATTGACCATCTAGCTTCAAATTCAATAACCAATGCATGGATACTCATGGGTAAAGCTGGTGTGGAGCAAATGGAAGAAGTTAAAAAGATTTTCTCAGAGACAGATCATGAACTCCTTTTTATTCCTCCTTGTGCACCATATTTGAATCCTATTGAGAGTTTATTCCGTCAACTCAAAGAGTATGTAAAATTGTTCTTGCCATTCGATGCTGATCGTGTCTTCAATTCAGTCAAACGTATTCCTGAGCTTGTAGATGAAAACGAATGTCAAAAGTATTATCAAAATATGAAAACCTACATTCAAAGATGCTTGGCGGAAGAAATTATTACAGAGTAACTATTTTAATGATCTTTTTAAATGTGTTTAAGCTTCAAGTCTGTGCATTACAACCTCTTGCTGATCTAATAGTGTGGTATCATGACCATTTGAATCATAACCAGATTTTAAATTATAACCACCAAACTTATTCTGACGAGGCAAGCTAGTAAAATAAACTGATTACCAAAAACGAATGAATTTCTTCTTTAATTTTGACTATTTGGATCAATTGATAAATTTTTTCACGGCTCAAGATCAAGTAAATTTCATTGAACTTTCTTCCGATTAACCTTTCTTTTCAATTCAATAAAATTTGCTTACTGAAAGACAAAAAGAAACAAATTTTTTGTTATTCATGGTTTACAGTTGAATTTGAAATTTCCAGATGCTTCAACTTTCTAACTTCCCACATTTAGCTAACACATTTCTCCTGAGCATAAGAATTAAAATTGAACGACGCCGGCAGAACGGGCACTAGAAATGACCAGATTTGCCCGTGAAAATCACAATGGAATTGAACTTTAATCTTTAGGTAAATTTGCTTGGACGGAGTTTGTTTAAAGTTTAATAAGTAAATTTGCCTGGACTCAATAGGTGTGTCTATGATTAGAGTTTGGTCAGTAAAAAGATTATCTCATTGAGAATATTTTTGGTTCAATATTTTCAAAAACCGTCTTAATAAGTTAGATGCGAACAATAGACGGTTGACAAAATCAGCCGAGCTTGATGAAATGCAATTATTTTACAATTTTCTAGGTTGAACTTCAAATCAACAATTGAAAGCCTCAAGCTGTACAACCAATACTTGAAACTTTTAACCTCATTACGATATGGGCTTGAATTCAATTAAAAGATGAAAACAAGTGAAAGGCAAACACATTGTTGTTCACCGGGTTCAATGCTATTCCCCTTCAAATCAAACAAAACTCGGTTTGAAATATCGTTTAAGCAAAATTTTCAGTTTTTTTGAGGTGTTATTGGGTTAAATTTTCCGATGAAGTATCAATTTTCATTTTGAAAGACAAAGGTTGTAACTATTGTAATGATTGATATCCCAGTTGATTAATTAACTTTTGGAAGGCAACCTATCATTTCTAAACACTATGAACTACCTAGAATAGCTATCATTTGTATTTGCACCTCTAATATTGTAACAACTCACTTATTCTGGATGCATGTATGTCATGTTGACAATATTAACCTGAGTATAGTTGAAGGACATAGATTAAGGTTGGTGCTGAATCTTCACTATTTAGATTGATACCATTTTAATGTGATAATCAACCTGATCAGAATTAACCTTGAAGACAGAAGACAAAGAGAAGGCGATTTCAAAGAAAGAAATGAAATAGAGAGAAAGAGAGAGAGAAAGAGAGAAAAGAGGGGAAGAATGAAAGGGAAAGAAATAGAGGAAAGACAGAAAGACAGCTTTATCTCTCAGCTTTCACTTGAAATAAAAATAGCCGAAACACTGGTGTAATTTTTGTTTGTATTTTCGTTTCAGTTTTCTTGTTTAGACCTTTGTTTTTTACCGCAAATTTGATTGTTTTTATTGACAATATAGATCATCATTTGGTACATCACTTTGCGTAAATGTGATCAAACCAGTAAACAACCCAAAGTAAGTTACCATTTTATTCGTTCTATGTATTTTATTTATCCTCGTTTTTCTGGTTTACCGTGTTTCTGTGATCGTCTATGTTTAGAATTGTCACATCTTAGGTCTATTGTATTGTATTAAATCAATACACACTGTTTATGATTATTATCTTTATTGTAGTGAATTCATTCGCTTTGAAACCTCGTAATGTTTTGAGTCTATGAGTTGAGGGTTATTTTATCTTCTGATGTGCTCTTATATTAATACTCTATTTCACTCTTTCGTATTTTTAGGATATTGTCAATCTTTATTTTTTGGTTTTCAACTTGATGCTTGGTTAATTATACGTGTAGGTATAAGTTTGTAATTGTTTAAAGTAATCATTGGTTTTTCCTTCATTAGGTGTAATTATGACTGACAGTTACATGTATTTATGTTCAAAAAAAGGTTGAAAAATTGAGATAAGATTGATAAATACATTCAATGAGTTAACAATCGCTTGGCTCTCTTATACTAAACAAAAACAATACATACTGATCAAGCTTTTGCTAATTAATTGGTTTGCTAATTTGTGTTAACCAGGAAACTGTTTTTCTGATCATTTAATTCGTTTAGTATTATCCATTTAATTTCTTTCCGGATTGAATCAAACCTTTATTTTCCATCCATCACTATTTTTTTGCTTGCTCGTCTGACATCAACGTTTTCTTCAACATCAAACTGCTCACTATCTTCTTCGTATGATTTTTCTCATTTTATTTTTCTTTCATCATTGATTCAGAAATCGTCTTGATCATCATTACCTCCATCTTTACTTTAACCAAATCACACTGTGAATATAATGAAGCCTAGGTGGATGAACCTGTGTTGACGTTACCGGACGTGATGTGGTTTCAACAAAGACATAAAACGAAATCGTTGGATGATCTAGATTAATTTTGTGACAATAAAAACAGAGTAAATTTCAAGTTTATTCCACTCCATCATCAAATATTTAAGTGTGTTTGATGGTATAAAATTTAAGTGATAACTAACATCTTTAAACCTGATAAGAAACTTTAAAAGAAAGTGATCAATTCAAATTGGAAATAATGGAGCCCATTTTTGACGCAACGCCGACTACTGCAAAACAAATAAGTGATTTATTTGGAAATGCTGCCAATAATGATCTGTCTAGCAGTACCAAAGGAGATGAATCTTCTCGTTCACAATCCTCTAAAGAGCCAAATGAACGGGTTTTGGATCAATATGCCCTCATTAGACCAGATGAAGATATCTACAAATCGCTAGTTGATCATATTAAAGCCAAATTGTTCTCTGGGAATGGAGAAACACTATACCAGATCGGTGTTAATGGTAATAATAATTGTTGAACTTTAATACTCTTGTCTATAGTTTTGGTGCGAGTTGCTGGGCTCTCAAACTAGATGACGTTTGCATTGGTTATGCACTGTCGAAGCACCAATTTGTGTCTAAATTTAAAATAAGTTTCTCGATTGTAGCATCAGATTTTATCATCAACATAGCAACGTGATTACCAAATAGTAATTTTAATGAGGGAAACGTTGTTACGTTTATGATTGCTGATTGGGAAAGCTTCCAAATCGAGAGTGAATCAAAAAACATATGTTAGTAATTGTCATTGTTTTTGGATTCACTTTCTATCAAGGTCGTCCAAGCACAAGATTATGCTTTTTGAGCGCGAAGTTTTACCTATTCATAGAGCATGGAATTCATTTTTATTTTTACTTTTTAATTTCAGAAAGAGGTGATAATGGATTAAGTGAGGATGAGATGACTGAATCAATTGCTACCTTATCCAGAATAGTCGCTGAATTGAACGCTGATTACGTCCTTTTAAGATCTAAAACATTACCGAATGGTAAACAAATTGGCGATTATTTAATACGAGAAAGAGCCAAAACTAATGACTTTCATGAAGTTAGAGTTGCCGTTGTGGGTAACGTTGATGCGGGTAAAAGCACCCTTCTTGGTGTTCTAACTCATGGTGAACTTGACAATGGTCGTGGGCTAGCGAGACAACGTCTTTTCCGCCATAAACATGAAATGGAATCCGGTCGGACATCTTCAGTTGGTAATGACATACTTGGTTTTGATAGTAAAGGAGCCATTGTTAATTCAGCTGATACTCATGCTGGTCACCTTGATTGGGTTAAGATATGTGAAGCGTCATCTAAAGTGATTACATTCATTGACTTGGCTGGCCATGAAAGGTACCTTAAAACAACAATATTTGGTATGACTGGACATGCCCCTGATTATACGATGCTCATGGTCGGTGCAAACGCCGGTGTCGTTGGTATGACCAAGGAACACCTTGGTTTAGCTTTAGCTCTCAATGTACCCGTTTTTGTTGTCATTACAAAAGTAGATATGTGTCCACCAAATGTACTTGCAAACACATTGAAACTTTTACAACGTATTCTCAAATCTCCTGGTTGTCGAAAGATACCTGTAATGGTTGGCAGTGAAGATGATGTTGTCTTAGCTGCTTGTAATTTTGCCACTGAAAGACTTTGTCCAATTTTCCAAGTCTCTAACGTTAGTGGACTTAATCTCGATCTTCTCAAAATGTTCATGAATCTTTTAATGCCAAGAAGTCCAAATTATGACAATGAACCTGCTGAATTTCAAATCGATGACACATACTCTGTTCCTGTAAGTTTATCAACAGAGTCCTCTTGCTAAAGTATTGATAAAATTATTCATTTTTCTCATTTCAGGGAGTCGGTACTGTAGTCTCTGGGCTTTGTATAAAAGGAGTTATTCGTGTCAATGACGTTCTTTATCTCGGCCCTGATTCCCTTGGTAAATTTACTCCTATCGCTATTAAGTCTATTCATCGTAAAAGAATGCCGGTTAAAGAAGTCAGAAGTGGACAAACAGCAAGCTTTGCGCTCAAAAAGGTACAAACTAAATTTGACTTATTTCTTTAACATTAAAAAACGTATATTTAAATCCTCATTTCTAGATGAAACGTTCAGACACTCGTAAAGGAATGTTTCTCTTAGCACCTAGTCTAAATCCTCAAGCCTACTGGGAATTCGAAGGAGAGATTCTGGTTCTGCACCATCCAACCACAATAAGCCCTCGTTACCAAGCCATGGGTAAGCATTTAGCTTCTATTACCTAAAATTATCTTTATTTGAAGTTATTATTTTAAATTAACTCACTTTTTTTCGCCCGAAAATCAAGTTCACTGTGGCAGTATTCGTCAAACAGCGACAATCATTCGAATGACTAGAGAATGTTTAAGGACTGGAGATAAAGCTGGTGTATTATTTCGTTTCATCAAAAACCCTGAATATTTGAGGGAAGGACAAAAGATGGTCTTCCGTGAAGGTAGAACAAAAGCGATTGGAAACATTGTGAGGCTGATATCAGATGCAGCGCCGAATAATGTCAATAAAACTAAAGCTAAAAAAATGGTTCGACAAATGAAAACTAGTCCAGAAGATGGTCCTAGTGATGATAAAAGTGGTAAAAAGAAAGGAAGACACAGGAATTTCTATCCAGAAAATGAATCAACGGGGTCCAACAATGTTCAATAGTTGTATTATTTAAATTCATCCAAGTTGATGATGATAAATAATAATGATTTAGCAATTTATCAGCTTCAAAAAAACAAGAAGACATATGAAAAAACAGAACTGAAGCCTATTTTTCAGCTATTTATCAAAATGGTTATTTTTTCTATAAAAAAGTCTATGAATTAAGTGAGATGAGGATTTACTCATTCAAATGAACGTTTGCAGCTATTTATCTAAGAACAAATAAAACAATAAGAACAAAAAATGCCTAAAAATAAATCTACAAACAGTAATGAATTGACATTGATTCAGTTAACCTCGAGATATTCCATGTAATGATTTACCATGATAACTATTGTGCATGACTGGTTAAAGTCATTGTAATGTTACAAAAAAATGAGCTCAATGTTCAATTCAAAATTACATTTTTCAATGTTGACTTAATAATTATGTTTTTTAATTTCAAACAGCAATTCGGAACCAAGCAATTAGTAGACGTAATTTGAAAATTTAAAGGGTTATCCTTAATATTAACCTATTCTCATGTATCTCAACGTACCTCGAAAATAAACTCACTTTGCTTATATTCATGTTAAAATGAACACAATCATATTCATACTTCTTTTTGTGCTGCCTACAAAACTGTATTTCCTTTCCTTTCCTCCCGTTTCACGCTCACTGAGATTTTTTGAAAAAAAACGCCAGAGTCATTTGTCTTTTTACGTTTAACACAAATATTTCCATTAAACAAAAGTATTAATGTCTGGTCCCACAATCTGTACATTGATTTTACCTTTCTTTTAAAAGTATTCACCAGCTCGGTGGTCAAAGAGCTTTTTGCATTGTTAAGTGTGAGTTGGGTCGAGTAAGAATTAAGGAATCTTTTTGTTTAAATTGACAATATTTAACGAGCATTTAGCGCAAATCCGCGCTAAATCTGACAATTTCTCCCTACACTCATTGAATGGCGTCAATGTATCACTCGACTGGGAAAGCAATCACGGCGAATTTGATTTGTTTCAATTTTATTAGCAAACATGAACAATAATATTTGATGTCAACTGTTCGTTAAGTTTTATTTTTTAATTAGACGAAAGATACAAGACAAGATTACAATCAAAACAATCACTGATAATAGTCAAAATGTTTGACATAGAATAGTTTTGAGAATGAGATTTTAGAATCAATTGTAACATTGAATTATTAATATAAAGAAAAGAATGAATGAGATAGAACGTAAATTCCCAGTTAAAATGGTTCATGTGTTAACTAGGACTAGAAGGTGATCAACATCAATTGTAACGAGGTGCTGATGAGTAAGAACTTTCGTAATTAGGTTTTTTAAGATTAGAATGAGATGAAGAATCATATGAGTCAAATTTCCTCTTTTGGGCATAACCCCCATTATTGTCATTAGAGCTACCATAGCTTCCATAGGAGCTTCCATAAGAGCTTCCATAGCTATTTCCTCCTGCTCTTCCGGAGCCATAGGAGTTCTTTGGAATGAAACCATTTCTACCTGAACCTGAACCATATCGACGGAATTTATCTGGTCCACCGCTAAATCGAGACAATTCGAGTAGTTGAGGGTTTACTGTTTGATTAGCTTCTTTAAGAACATTGATCAAGTCATTGGCTTGTTTAGAGTTGCCTCTGGTGAAGAAAGTGTATGCAGTTCCTTTTTTGTTTTTACGACCAGTTCGTCCAATTCGATGGACATAGTCCTCACTTGAGTTAGGATAGTCAAAGTTGATAACATATTTTATGTCTTCAACATCTAGAAATTAGAGAAAAAAAATAAAGATGAGATAATAATAGAAACCACAAAGACAAACCAACTGTAGCAACGTTTTACCAGTCCAAATAAGTCTCAAGACATAATCATCCAAGGTATCAAAAAAGTTGCCCAATTGATCAAATGAGGTGGTTGAAGTTAAATTTGAAAAACATTCATTGATTTTTTTGTCCGAAAACAAAATATGAATAAAGCATCCAGGAACTAAGTTCAATAATTTTGACCCAAAGGAACAACTTACTTACCGTTACTCCTTTGGTTCATGGTCAAGAGAAGAAAACTTAAAATTGCAGAAATTTTTTTTTTCGGATTGAGCCGATTCCACATTATGACCCAGATCAGGAGTCACTTTAGTCATCGGCGTCATTCCCAGATGCAGTTATTCAAGACATTTAACATGTCTTTTTCCAAATAAATGTGTTCCTTCAGAATAAAACTAAAGTAAATCGAATTCATCGATTTTCATTTTATCTTACCAAGTCCTCGGGCAGCTACATCAGTAGCGACTAAGATAGGAGCCCGTCCACTTCTGAACTCTATAAGAAAAAGAAAAAAATTTGATTGGAGTTGATTAATGTGAATAAACGGGATTCGCTAGAATACGCTAAGGGGTATGCTTTGATAAAATTAGTAACTCCATTAGGTGAGAAAAGCGTAAGATTCTACTAACCTTTCAAAACCCAATCTCTTTCAGCTTGACTTTTGTCGCCATGAATGCACATAGCAGGCCAGTTAGAGTATTTTAACTGCTTTGTTAAGTCATCAACCTTTCTCTTGGTCTCAGCAAAAACTATTATCTTATTTTCACTGTTCTCTCTCACTATTTCAGTAAGAAGATTGAAAAGCCTTTCTTTCTTCTCCATATCACCACAAACCTCAACAATCTGGGTAATATTGTGGTTAGCATGTAGTTGGAGAGCACCAACATTTATTTGAATGTGATTACGAAGAAAATCTTCAGCTAAAGTACGTACTTCCTTTGGCCATGTGGCTGACCACATAAGGGTTTGTCGCTTAGTCATGCTAAGTGTGGAAATTATCTTTCTGATTTGGGGTTCAAAACCCATATCTAACATACGATCAGCTTCATCTAGAACAAGATAACTAATATTGGCTAGGCTAATGATACCGCTTTCTATAAAGTCATTGAGTCGACCAGGAGTGGCGATGACAAGCATTGGCCTGTTGCGAGTGATTTCTTTGATTTGAGGGCCTTTTGAAGCACCACCAAATACACAGACATTGCCGAATCGGGTTTGAAAATGGTTGACTACATCTTGGATCTGCTGAGCAAGCTCTCGAGTTGGAGCAAGAACCAAAGCCATTGGACCATAATCTACAATGATAAATAGAAGATAATAATTGTGACGAACGAGGTGAAAATACATAAAAATGAGATGAGTGTGATTAAGAGGTAAGAAACAGTAGCAGAAGACGGATTATATTGGCAACTGAATTAATAATTATAGGTTAGAATTCGAGATATTACCTTGTCGTTCATTCAGTTGGGAATCAATATGAATAAAAGCAGGAATTACATAAGACATAGTCTTTCCACTACCAGTTTGGGCAATACCAACCATATCTCGCCCAGCTAAAGCTATAGGCCAGCCCTGAGCTTGAATAGGAGTTGGCTTATCATAACCTTGTCTGGCAAAACCGGCAGAAATAAATTTAGGCCAGGGATAATCGCCAAAGTCCATGCTTGGTGGAGGGACATCATTTCCTTTGATAGTAATACCTTCTTTGTCCCTGAACGTTGTAACTTCTTCATCTCGATAAGTAGAACGCACATTAACATCAGTATAAAAATCACTTTTAACTATTAGATTTGCAGGAGGCTTTGGAGTTGGGGTATTATTGTAATTATAGCCACGATTGTAACTGTTGTAGCCACCACCATAATTTCGGTCTGACATGATGATTCTGTTAATTAAGTAAATTAAATAGAATGTGATGAAAAATTGATGATTGAAATATAGTAAATATTAATAGATTATTAAGTTGAATTAAGGTGGTAAGGCCTAAGAGTTACTTTGACTTTAATAAAAAGCTTAACCAGAATTTTAACAGACAGACTCCAGATTCCAGATAGTACATATTAGGTACATGTAGATGGCATTAGTTATCACTTAAAAAGCGGAAGCAGAATGAAAACAGCACCATCTCTGATTCTGGTTAAACATTAATAAGATAACTTTTTGGGTATTGTTGGATGCTTAAAGAGCAATAATAAGCCTTAAATAAGTCCAGTTGTGTTAATTGTTGGCCATAAATCTTCATTTATTATTTCTTGATCTAATAGTTTACTTTAAGAATGCTTTTTAGATTCATGTAATTTTTCATCACATCATTATCGTTACTTTACAGAACTAAATCTGTTTAGATGAATGAAACAATGTTACAGACTGGATATAAAACGTATACTTTTCATATTGAAAATTTTAAAATATTCGAAAAATTTGTTAATTTTCAATATTGTAGCGAAAAATCTAATGAAAATTGAATTGATTCAGAATCAGAAATTATTTATCAAGTTAAATATTTAATCATCGATTAAAGTTCCATTAGTTTGATCTTGATAGGTTTTCCCATTAACAAGCTATTTACGTTAGTAAATTATTCAACAAAAAGGCTTCAATTTAAACAATAAATCACAAATTGCAAAGAACGATCCTTTAAACAGTTTTGTACAAAATTTGAAAACTGCAAAGCATATGATCTTTAGTAAAATTTGACCTTAAAGGGTCAAAGAGACCAATTTGCCAAAAATTGATTTTAACAAAGCAAAAGCATTGGCAAAATTTTCTGTGCTCAATTAAAAGTCATACTGGATGGTTGAATCTTGACTTGCACACTTGATTTAATTATCTTGTTACTTTAATCGTTCATTGGATCGTACAAAATTGTAAATCGAATTGAATTGTTTGATGCATTAAACTGACCATTGGTTAATTGTTGGTTCATGTTTGATCTAGCTCAAGTTAGAGGTTGTTGACGTGTCAGTTTACTTGACTTATAATCAACTTGTCTTCTTTTGATGACCATAAAGACATTTGATTGATCAGCAATTTCAGCAAGCATTTAATAATTGAACCTTCATTCCCATCTTTGACCTCATCATTACCTAATGGTTAATTAGGCAAGAGAAAAAGATTGATACAGTGTAATTAAATTGTTGAGCATCATCTCGTTCGGTTCACTTTCAATTGTGATTTTCAAAGAATACAGTAAACCCTGAAAGAGAAAATAAAGTCAAATTGTGATTATCAATGATAATCAAGACCATCACCAAAATGATCGTGATTGATCTTCAAGAATTAAAAATCATGTTTATTGGAGTGATTAAGGTAAATCTTCAAATGAGACGAAAAACGGTTAATCTCATGAAAAACCATATTCATAATTAAGTGAAACTGTGAAGTTAACCAGGAAAACAATTGATGATGGTGATCACATACAACATGGTATATTGAACATAGGAATGAAAATTGGAACAATTAAGAAAAGGAAGAAGAGTTGTCCGAGTTAATCGATTTATTGTTTATGATCATGTTGAAGATGATTGTCATTGCTTGAGGTTGTCAAATTTTCAACTTTTCATTTCATTTTGTTGAATGAAACACTATCCGATTCAATTAGAAGTAAGAAAAAACCAGAAAATAAAGTGAGTTTAAATTGATTTAATAAACATTGTAATGTGATGATGTTACTGATGGTGATAACGATTTAATTTCAAAAGAAACGACTTAATGGTTACAGTAATTGTAACTGTGTCTCAATCAAATCAAATAAATCATTAAACGTATTTTTACCTCAATTACCGGTATATCCACCAAAGAATTAAAATGTAATTCATTTTGTTTTTCGTTGTTACTTTCATTGTTCATTCTTACACTACAAACTTCACTGGTTTAATGTATTATATAAACATGTAATTGACTAAGGTGTAAGACTAACAAGTTAGATGATTCAAAAAAGGTAAATAATTTAAACAATTAAGGTAAAACAATGTTTGAATTCAATGGAAATAAGCTCAATTTGAATGGCAACCTGATCAGCATAAGAATTGGCCAAAAATGAAAGGAAATCAAAACCTTTCGATTCACTCGCTATATTTCTTGGCTCTATAAGATTATTTAATAACGTTCTTAATAACATTTTTAAACTAAAATAGGATTGATGGAAATACGATATAACGAAATTTAATCTTGTGAACAAATAAGAATTCATTTTTCATACCATTACAATAAAATAAAACTCTAAAACTCTGAAAAGCCATCAGCTTTAGAAAATGCAATAAAGATTACATTACAATGGAAATATGAATTGAATGAATCGGCAATTCTTACCTTAAGCTTTAAAGCAAACAAAGTTGTGTTGAAAGGAGAGCAAAACTTAGGGAACCGGAATCAAGACTTCGCAAGGCACATGTTCAAATCCTAGATTCTTTGTTCAGTTTAATTCTGCTCTATTCAGTGAGATATCTTTAGGTTGTATTTGTTTAATAATGTTCACCGAGCAATTCCACTTCATCTTAATGATTCTTTTGTAACTTTATTAAGTGTTACCTTCTAGCACTACAATCTAGTTATTTTATCTCAAAGTTCATTAAAAAATTCAAAAATTGATGAAACAAGTGAGAATCGGTTAGAGCCTGGTAGCACTTGAACCTGCGAAACTACATGCATTTGATTCGAGAGTTTTAAATTTTGATCTTAAAAGTGTGCAATTTACTATTTCAATAAGATTTTGTTGTTTGTAAATTAATTGACTCAACAATCCAACAACAGTTTATATTGGTTTTTAATTTTTATTAACACTACAACACGTTTATTCACAGTTTATTTATGGTATAGACAAGAACCGAATCCAGGATCTGATTCCGTTTTTAGCCATTGAATATCCGCTTCAACTCTCACCAATTTGAATTAAATCATTCGTGAGATAATTTTAAATTTAAATCATCAAAAGTTCAACAGAGAACAAAAAAGGTATAACCAAAAATCAAAATCTTTTCTATTCATCATCAACATTTACTTCTCCATAATATGGAATCACCTTCACACCAGCAACTGTTTGGACTAAAATGAATGTTTTCACCGTAGCAAATGTACTTCATTGAACCTTGACTTTGATCGCACAGTAAAATTTATTTCACAAGGTAAGTTGATAAAATATTTCATAAGATACATGAGCTGTGTGGATAAATTATGAGACTTTTCGTTATGCTTTTGCAAAGTTTGAAATTGTTAGGTATAACGACACAGATTATGTATTACGCATTATGCATTCACAACCAAAATTTCAATCAGAAATAAGCTACAATAGCTTCGTAACCAAAGTTATCCCAATGACTTAGAATTCAAGTTGAATGGTTGTTGAAGTTTAATCGATAAGTGTAGTAATAATAGTGTAGTTGGTCCCATGAGATGTTCATCTATCGATTGATGTTATAGCCTTGAATTCTGGTCAGCGCACTGTTAGAATTGGGCTCCGTTTTTTTGTTTGGAAGCAAAATTTTAAATTAACCATTATATTTTTAAGTATTAATAAAACAAGTTAAATGTCGAACGAGCAGTTTTGTCAAAATTATAATTGATCGAAGATCGATATCGATATTGCAATTTGGTCGGTAAATGTTTGTGCTTTTCTAACAATTAGTGAAAAACGACAATTTTCTCGGTAATTTTTATAGTTCAAATACGCTCAAACGGGCCAATTTCTTGTTTTTCATCCGTTGTGTTTGTGAACTTACTCGGCAATCGAATTCCTTGCGATTTGAATAGTAAATCATTATAAATATTATAATCTATTTTGTAGTATATTTAGTAAGATTGAGCACTGTCGAACTGAACATTCACTAGATATTTTAGATCAAAAACAGTCCAAGTTGCTCCATATTAATTTAATACATTAGTCGCCATAATATCGACCAGCTTGATTAGATGACAGCTAAAACTGAAAAATATAATACATTACACTTTTAGCTTTTCAGCTTATTGCTTATCAAGAACTTGTTCATTCAATTCAACGCATCAGTTGATCAATTATAGCAATGAAAGACTTGGAGATTACCGTTAGGTTAATCAAAACTTTGTCTTTCCTAATGATTTAGATATTGTAATATTGAAAAGTATCGTTATTTCAAGTAATATATTGGATAACCGTCTGCCAACCGCTTTCTCAACAAAAACGTCTTCACTTCGCTGATGTTATGCCAACTACCTTTAGAAGAGTAATGAAGAAATGGTTTCTTTTCTTTGGCTGGTTTATTTTGATTAGATGAGCGGATCAGTTCGATAATTAAAACGAAACTTGAAAGACTCACGAGAAGAACAAAAAGATAGAGTAAATCTTTAATCGTGATGAATGCAATCGAATGATAGGCCACTGGATAGCTTTCAATCTGTTTGTAGCGTTTGCATTGGGCACAAGTTTTATAAAATTTTACTCTTTTCTCAATAACCGCTCCGAGTGCGCGATCAAATGCGTCCAGACAAAAGCCCATCTCAATGCAAGAATAGGTTGCCCTTTGCAGAAACACTTTCTTGCTCTTCTCGATGAACTTGTGATAAACCAGTAACCGTATAGTATTGAAATAACGCTGGTTACTAACATGAATATAAAAGTTATCATTGTTCTTGATGTTGATCATAAAGTTGCAAAATATTCTCTTCTGATTCTCAATTGCATTTACTGTTTCAAAAAAGACGATTCTATCATCGAATAAATGTTCATGAATATAGCTAAACACTTTGTCAACCTCAACCGTATTAATACGACTTGACAAAGATGAATCACCCGTCATCTTACGAGCACAGTACAAATTATGAACGGCAGTTACAGATTGAGTTGACTTGTTGAGATCATTCAAATAAACCAAAGGGGCATCTCGAGATTGAATTGAATAGTTGGTCGTGAATGAAGAGCATAATAATTCGTAGACGTAAAAGACACAAAAGTAACAAATGACCAAAACTATGAGCCCAAATCGTCCACCAATCAGGTGTTTTGTTATGCCTTTGAAAGGCCGAGGTAGACTTTTCTTGCGAACTAAATAAATGTAAACTCCGAGTGCGAGCAAGAAACCAAT